ACTTAGGGATTTTTAAGGCGACAAACCTGAAATGAAGTATCTGTTTACAGTCGATGGTAAAGCATTTGTGAGTTATTTAGCCAATATCTTTGAAAAACTGAATATATTAAATAAGAAACTTCAAGGAACCAATAAAACTCTTGTTGATGCAAAAGCGAAGATATTTGGCTTCATTACCCTTATTGAGTTATGTGAGAAATATATTAACAACAGAAACTTTGAACAGTTTCATTGGCTCTGTGTAGTAAATGATACCGCTTTACTTGTTATTGTCTATCATCTGAAAATTCTATCGGCTGATTTGAAAGAAAGATATTCTGATTTAAAACAAATTTATCTTCCAACATGGATGTTACAGTCCATGTTAGTGGATTTGTCTGATATATCAAATATATCAGGAAGAACTTGCAGAAATGCAAAATGATTAGTCAGTTAAAACTTTATTTAATATGAATGGAGTGATGGCATGGCTTCATGAGGAAACAGAAAACAAATACCCAAATTCAATCAAATGTGCAAGAAAACTATTGTTACCGATTCCATCTTCATATTTAGCTGAATGTGGATTTAGTGCTGTAAATGATTTTATTGGTCAGAAAAAGAAATCGTCTGGATATAACACAGCGGGGAGACTTGAGACTGAAGCTAACCAAATTGGAACCTAAGATAAAATCTACATGCAGCAAGCATCAAGGGCAAGAATCTCACAAAATTAAAATCTTTATTAAAATTATTTCGAATTTGAATTTTAGCTTTTCATTATATGTTCTGAAAATTTACTTACTTTGTTTCGCCAACAATTTCCTAAGTTTCTCAAGCGAACAATTCGATTTTTTAATATTAAAAATTATGCATATGTTACATAGGGGGGCATAAGAATTTTAAAAAGGCTTAAGTGGGGCATGGTACAAAAAAGGTTGGAAAACACTGATTTAGACCCAGGTCACATAATTACCAGATGGGCAAAAATGAAGAGGGGGACTTCTAATTGGTCTCATAAAGGGACTAAAGCAACAAGGATAAGGAAAATCCGAATCTCTATTACAATTGGCTGTCTATTACAATTGTCTATACAATTTTTTTACAAAATCTCTATTACAATTGTCTTCTCATATAATTGGCTGTCATGTTTTTCAGAGAAAATATCAAATATCTAGATCTTCAAGACATAGACAACCATTCAAAAAGACACCCAGTTTCTACATAGTATAGTATAGCATTCTCGCAACAGCCTGTTATGAGCCGAAGGGGGTCATGGTTCGCAATTTCGAGACCAATGGAATGATAATGGCAACAAGGTCAGCAGTGCACACAAGCCACTTTTACTTCTTGGATAAGCTGGTACCCAACGATCTAAAGCAGTGAGGGCTTCAAGCCGCCATCAGGAATCGAGCCCCAGTTTTACATATTTACAATTTTTAATATTTACTTAGTGTTATAAATGAAAAATTTTGAATTTAAATTTGTTTAATATTTTGATAGAAATTTAATACCAAAACATAACTAGTTTTGCTTTGTTAATGAATACAGAATTTCTTCAGATTCATTTTAATAATTATGATTATATACAATGCTTTGTCACCAAAAACGTAGAAAGACTTAGTGAAAAAAAATTAAAATACTCACAACAGTAACACCAGCATCTAAATTACGCTGAAGTGTTTCATTAGTTTTACTTAAGCTAAAGTATCCATATCGGCAAAGATGAAAACCAAGACTCCAATATGGAATAAAAAATGGACGACCAACAATAAAATTATATTGACCAACAACTTCTTGAGGAGTAGGGCCAAGCATGATAAAAAAGTCATATATTCCACCAATTGTTCGAAATGTAACAGCAGGAGCAGGCTGTAGCAAAACATCTGCAGTGAAAAAGTAAAGTAGTACAAATACGGCTAATTATAAAAAGTAAATAGAAGATTTCTCTTAAGAGAATAGTATAGTTGAATAAGAGTCAAGAGCAATAAATAAATAGAGCAAAGATAATAAATTAAAGGCAATAAATAGAAATAAATTGTGTAAAGCATACAATAACTCCTCATTAAATAACATACTGTCTAGGATAAGGTTATGTGGGTATAAAATAAAGATTTTCTTAAAGAGGGCTTAAAAATCAAACCATTAAATTTATTTTACAGGATTTATTTTAAGTTTGGATGCATTTTATATACATTGGAATCATATAGATTAAATATGAATCATAACTTATATATTTTGTTTTATTGTTTTTGTATTGTAATGCTTTCAAAATAAAGTGTTTTGATATACCAACTTTACCTCACTCTGGGGTAAAGTGGGTATAGTTCTAAAATTAGTGTATATTTCCCTAAAAACATTTGCAAATATTTTATTCGAAATAAAATTGCTCTTAAATAAATGTATCATGATTATATTTTAAAAAAATGCTAGAAAATATTTTTTTCTTCGTATTATTAAATTAAAGAGTTAATGTTCTTGATTATCACAATTAGATTCAATTTCGGTGGCAGTGTATTTTGTTGAACTCTACACAATTTCATGAAAAAGTAAGAAAACTGTAATAGTTTTTGGTTTATTTGAAATATAAATGAGAGTGCAAAAATTAATATCTATAGCGGTAATTTAAAGTATTTTGACTATTTACAGCACACATGTATTTTTACTCAATTTAATTATTTTAAGGAAATTGTTTTGCTTTCCATGAAAAAACTGTCATGTAAAGGCAGAAAATTGATTAAATACTCATCTATATCTTTAAATATGCTCACTAAGCAGTACCATTATGCTATTTTCTTATTTTATTTCATAACAGGTCTGCTACTTTGTTATCCACCTTATCATTTTTCTCTTTAAAAAATAAAATTAATCTAAAAAAGAAATTTTGCTTTTAGGGTTAAAATTATAATGTAGGGCTATAATCAAACAAGTAAAAAAATTTTTTAGCTATTTCATTGGAAAATATAGAGTATTAGACACCTATTAAAGCTAACACAAAAGTAAAAAAAATATCCCTATCATACAACATTTAGCTAAGCCTAACCATGTACCCACTTTATCCCACCTTAGAAAACAATTCATAATAAATAGAATTTTGAAGTTAATTTTTAAATTTCAAAGTAGATCTGTTCCTTATATGCCCTTCTACCAGTTTGAACTTAAATTAATAGTTTTTACCAGTTATTAATAACATTAAAGTTCATGAAAAGCTTAAACTAACATATTCTACAAATTGATCATAAACAAATAATTTGTAAACATTAAAGTTTTTATCAGTTTTAAAAACTGAAAGAGAAATGCTTTCCACGAATCCATTAAATGTCTTGAAAAATTTTAAACAAATTATCCCAGGTTTAAAGGGGAAAATAAATGTTTTTTAACATATACCCACTTTACCCATATACTCATTTTTCCCCACCTGACCATATATTGTTTTGCTTTTACAACACTCCTCAAGACACCAAACTCAAGAAATGGTGGTTACTACAGTTAGAAAGATAAGTCACTTTAAATAGAGGTTGTTTCATTTTAGCTATTATCTGCAGAAAAAACAAAAAGAAACTTATTGTAAAATTTTTATCCCAAGATTATAAGAACACCTAAACATTTTCCAGTGAAGCTGTCATTTAAAAAGTTTGTAATAAAAAAACAGCAACCTGATTATTTTTAACTTGAAGTTTAAAAAATATAGCACAATTTACAAAACATCTGCCATAAATAAATAAATAATGTTATAAAAATAAAATTTATTTGAAATGCTGTTACCTATTGCAGCATTAGCTCTGAAAAATATGCCATTAGCATTTCCGTCAGGTTCCATCACCAAACAAAATGGATGTGTTCCATACAGATTCCTATGTGGCTGTAATTTGTTTGTTTTTTTATTATTAAAATGATAAAAACATACATGAACACAATTATACAAATTGATAAATTTTTAAAATTGCAGAAAGAAAAAAAAAGTAAATTAATACATTATAGATTGCTATTACTTAAAAAAATTGAATTTAATTTGTAAGGAAATTTACAATATGATTTTTGAGATTTAAATTTGGTTGTGGAAATAGTTTTCAAAGTAAGGTTTCAATTTCTATTCTCCATTTATTTAATTAAAAAAAGATAACAACATGAAAACAATTTTAATCTAACATTAAATTTTATTTTTAGAGTTGGAAGTTATTCTTTACAGTTTCTCATGCATAAGTTTTGGTGCTGGAAAAATAAAAAATTTTTATCAATAAGGTTTGGAGTTTGATGACATCTGAATTTCTAATCACTTTTTTAGGGCATTTTTTATCAATTTTCAGGGCATTTTTGAGAGTTTTTTTTTATTTTAATTTATTTTTTGAAATTTTTAGAAGTACTAGCAGTTATAAACTAGAAAGTTATAGTAAAAAGTATAACTTTCACACATTTTATCAGAGTTAAACAATGACTGCACTTCGATTTCTTGGAATAGGATAAGGACTGTCTGCCACTAAAATAAAACAAACCATTAATTAAAAAAAAAAGAAAAAACAGAAATATCCTCTGCGGACCTTATAGTGAATAAGACAGAAAGCTAAAGCATTGTAATTGAAGATAACTACAGAAAAACCTATGTTTCGTTGGGAACTTTTCATGAACAACTGGTGCGCCATAGCAGATATCAACTTTAGAGTGCATAGCTATATATTTTAACAAAAAGCAAGAATCTTTTAAGTATTTTTTAAGCACTCAAAAAACAAATTTAAGCACTATATACATTAACAAAATGCAAAATAATTTTCAAATACTTTGCATGAACATGATAAAATAACTAGTTTCTGACAAAGAATTCTTTTTTTGATTATATTAGCCAACATAAAAAGATCGAAAGATTTTTCGGTTCGTTTTCAGAGGGTGGAAAATGAAGCCTGAAATTAAAAATATCGTGCAAAATGTAGCAGAGTTGCATATGAGAGTGCTAGAGTCTCACCGAACCCATCTCAGTAGACGCACACACAAACTCACAAATATTTAATCAAACATGTAAAATAATTGGCGCTTGCATACACTACGGACCGACGGTACGCCAAATGGATTGTGGCTGAATGAATTGTGAAAAAGTTGAATAGAACAATGTGAAAAACGACACTTTTGCATAATACATAGCGAAAATTAACATGGTGAAGAAAAAAATTCTCATTTTCGAAAAAGGAATATTAAGCACCTATTTAAAAAAACATCGAAATCAGCACCTTTAAGGGCTTTTAAAAAACAAAAATAAAGCACCTTTAAGTAGGTACTTTTTAAAAATGCTACGCAAACTTGTTTAGGGAAAATATCAAAGAAACATTTGTTTCAACTTGACAACTTAAACAAGCATGAAGTGATGGGCGATGCACTTGGCAGCATGCCTTACTAGTTGCATTTCTTTATTTTGAACTGTAATTTTCTCTGAAAAAACCAAAGTAAACATAGCTTTTTAAAGTATAACCTAGTTGCTTTATCCTTAACAAGTTGCAAACTTAGAAAAACAAGATTTAGAACTTACTGGGGATAAGCAATATTGCTAAAAAATTATTACCATTTTGGACAGTTATGAAAAAAATCAAGTGGCAAGATTGGACAAAATATATAATCGAAAAGTTGAACAAGATTTGGAAGAAGTCATGATTTTTAAATGATAACATAATCAATAATCTATAATAATAATCATGGCAAAATTTGAAACAATATATTGTCAAAATTAAATTAATATACAAATTTTCTCTTACTCATCAGGGGTCTGTCTAGGTTTTTCTGAGAGATACCTATTTTGTGAAAATTTAGACATAATTTGCGAAAATTAAAAATTATATTAAAAAATCAATACAAAAATATGGTACAAATATGGATTTATCATTTTTTACGAGACACAAAAATAAAGTTTTAAGAAAAAGTATTTTGTGAAATTTCTCCTAAAGTTGAATTTGTGAATGTACCGCTGAACGATAGTAAATTTGGCTAAGACAGACCCCTGCTCATATATAAATTTGTTATTTATATTTTTAAAAAATTTATTCTGTAAAAAGAATTATTAAAAAGATTATAAATAAAATGAAACTAATATTGAAATTCGAATTTTACATACCACTGGTATATCACCTTGATTAAAGAGGGTAAGTTTCGTCCAGTTAAAAGACCTCAAGAGTTTATCTTTATGCTCGCCTAAGCCATATAAATAAGATGATGATACATATGAAGACAATTGTAAGAATTGCTGGCTGTAAATCAACTGGGAGAGCATTGTTTTAAATCTATGAAAAATAAATATAAAACAGCTGTAAGCAAAATACATAAACTATTTCTGCAAATTAAAAGTTTTAAAAAATAATACTGTGTGCTCAGTGGGATATATTTGTAACTACTTTAAAATCTACCTATAATCATAGTTAAACATAAATAATCCAGGGCAACAATAACAATCAGATTTGAACAACTGTTTTTGTCAGTGTTTAGATGCTTACCATACTTTGAGAAATTGCTGCAGAAGAAATGCTCCATATTATTAACATCAACTAGTTTTAATCTTTTCAATTTCTTTAAAAAAAAAGCCACTGATAAAATTGCTACAACTGGCCAGTAGTAAAATTTCCTAATTTTATTCTATACAGTGAGATGATAGGACACTTTAAAAAGCAAACTTGAATTTTATTTATGTACCTGAATTTACAATAAATTATAATCTAAAATTCACTTTCAATTTTAAATCGAGAACAAAAACTTACACAGTTGCACCTGTCGATCTTCGAAAAACTGTCAATAAACTACTATTATCAATATGTATTTCATACAGAGGATTTTCAGCACCAGTAACATTATGAAAAAGTGGGATATTTGAGACATATCTTTCAGGATCTTCATCTTTCAACTTTAAAAAAAAAAACAGAATGTATTACTTTATAAAATAAACGAATAAATTTAATAAAAATAACTTTATTATACATTTTGAGTTTATTAACATTTAAAAGAAAACATTCCTTTAACACATGTAAAGCAAAAAGAAAAATTACAATTACAAAGCCAAACTTAATATAATAGACAACAAGCATGCAGTAGCTATAATTATTTAAATAAACCTTTTTAGAGAACATTTAAATGAAGAATAACCTAAACTCACACACCTAAAATAATAGACTTCTTTATTACTTATCAGGATAGCTATTGCTATTTAGCTTCCTAAATTATTTAAATGCCTTCAAAATTACATCAAAAATAAATTAGAATATCCTAAGAATAATTTTAAAAAATTTTGGTTTAAAATTTTAATCATTTCCCCCTGTCAAGAAGATTCTTTTCAGATGCGGTAACTAGGCAACACGGTGACCATAAGGCACGGTTACAAATCATTTCTGCTCCTTTAATCTTAATGGTACGAAACTAGTTGTTGTTGCTGTTGTTAATTTACGTCGCACTAGAGCTGCACAATTGGCTATTGGCGACGGTCTGGGAAACATCCCGGAGGATGATCCGAAGACATGCCATCACAATTTTGATCCTCTGCGGAGGGGATAGCACCCCCGCTTCGGTAGCCCGACGACCTGCGCGCGAAGAAACTAGTTGAGAAGGAAAAAAAAAAATTGTCTTTAGGCGTGTATGTATACCTTCTTATACTTTACACACTTTTTAATTGCATCCAAAGTTTATTCCTTTGATAAAAATTTCAAATAATAGTAACAGCAGGTTCAAAAACAAAAGCTGACTAGAAGACCATTCTCACTAAAGCTCCAATCTCCGTCCAGAAAAATGGATAACCTGATTGATAAGTTTTCGAAACAAAATATTTTCACCAATCAGATTCTTATTCTCTGCCGATGGTGGTCGAAAGTGCATGAACCGCATTCAATGAAAATGCTCCTTATTTTAAACAACACAGCCGTGTTTCAGGATATCTCAAATCTTTATACTGAAATGGGGGAACACTCTTAAACAATTAAAATTGAAAGAAACGCTTTTCTCTTAATCAACTGGCTCAACAAGAACAACAAAAGGGGAAAAAAATACTGTATGGAACATTCTCACAGCATGCGATTCGCATAAGAGAAAGTACGTCAATGCGATTTATACATGCGCAAACAATTCGTCTTAAATGTAGTTTCTAGTGGTAATAGTACTTTATTTAAGTCTGAGGAAGATCCGAAGACAGTCATATCACAATTTTGATTTACTGCAGTGGGGTAGTTCCTCCGCATTGGGAGCCAGACGAGCTCCAGGTGTGAAATCGAACTACGGTCGTGTGGTTTAACAAGGACTGATATCACGTGCTTTTGGTCAATTTGCAGGATGATCAATTAGGTCACTCAACCGCTCACTGACTGCGGAAAGTGATGCTTGACTTCGTTGATCTATTGGCACCCGTGTCTTCACAACCAGTCTATAATGTTGTTTCTAAAGACACTTAAACAAGCTAAATTCACCGCACCTCTAGGGTCAAAGTACGACTTAGCATTCATGCGTAACCTCATGATGCAGATGTATCTACAGAGATATACGTACGGATACTTAGAAACTACACACAAAACAAACTGTTAGTTCGAATTGTACTAATCGCATTGACCAGCAACTGCGTATGCGAATTGTATCAGGTGAGAATTCTCCATTAGCTCAGCATCCCAAGAGAGATGGCATTACTAGTCATTCATGAGGTCATTTCAGAAATTTTGATATAGATCTAAAGGTATAGATATAGATCCCTGTATATCCATGGCACCATGGACCGATCAAGACAAGTTCAGGCCCAAGGCCCAACAAATTTTCCAGGCCCCTAACAAAATATTTTGAAATTAAATTTCTGAAGAGTAGTTTTAACAATGGATGGGTGATCGTGTAAAGCTAAGGGTGGCGGCGCTAGTGGTAAAATTGCTCTTTCCAGACTTCCGGGTTACTGCTTCCGATATATTTTTACGCCGCAGATTGAGAAAACGCGCCATCATATTATTGCGTCATATCTTTTGCAGTATTTCAAATGTACCGAGTTCTTTCTTTCAGCCTTTAAACTTCAGCATTATCATATTAATAATATAATCATTAGAATATTTTCTAATTAGGCTAACTTAAAAAGATATTTTTGGGGACATTTTATTCAAATGTAGCCAAATAAGGGATAAAATACAAAACATGGCAAACCTTAAGAATTATTCACAATGAGATATTAACTTTCCAAAAATTTTTTTGGCCTTACGACCTCTGAGAATCAATACGTTTCTGAAAGCTCTTATGAATGGTACAATTATGTTTAGATTTGAGACCAAATTACAATAACAAAACTGCATAGAATATTTGGCTTGTTCACACATCGCCTCGTAGTCATAACATATGCGGAGGGATACACCGGAAATTTTCTAAATTTCTTCCGGTTTAAGGACACTTGTTATTGTTTACATTAGTCCACCCATCCATAAAAAAGAATCGATTGAGCTACATGATTCAAGAGAAAAATTCTAAGAAATTTTGAAAGCAGATAATTGAAGAGTATTTTTCTAAGATAAAGTTTTATATATTAAAGCAAAACATAAAACAACAAGTTGTTGTTGTTGCTGCTGTTGTAGTTTCATTTACGTCGCACTAAAGCAGCACAATGTGCTATTGGCGACGGCCAGGGAAGCATCCCTGAGGATGATCCAAAGACATGCCATCACAATTTTGATCCTCTGCAGAGGGGTTGGCACCCCCGCTTCGGTAGCTCAACGACTTGAGCGCGAAGTCGAGCACTTTACGGTAGCACAGTTTAACGAGGACCAATACCGTACACCCTCGGTCCCTACGCAGACTGATCCAAGTGGGTCACCCACCCGCACACTGACCGCAGCCAGTGATACTTGACTTCGGCGATCTGCTGGGAACCGTGTCTTAAATATCAGTCCACTGCGGGACCATAAAACAACAAAGCAATGTTGTGTAAAAATAAAATTAGTTTGGTGACCACAAACAATTGAAATCAGTGATTTTTGCTAAAAGTCACTGATTAGCTAAATTATTTTTTATTGTAAGCTGTAATTATTATTATTATTATTTTTTAATACCTAAACCAACACAAAGCTAGCCGACTTCTCATTAGATTTAACGATAAGTTCAACATGTATGCTAAGATATTAAGGTTATTAATTATAATTTTTACTGAAAAATACACACAAAAAATAACCAAAAGAGCCAAAATTATAGCTACTCATAGAAAATTAAAAACACATTTAAATAATAATTTATTTAAATAATAACACTTTAAAAAAAATTAAAATTTATATTCAGTGCATTCACTTTAGCCGCTGACGTAAAAATTGCAACAATTCAAATTCAGCTGTTCTTTCGAATTTGATTAGTGCAATCTTTACACGAGTTTGGTTTATCACAATATAAAGAAAATTTAAAATTAAAAAAAAAAATGCATTTTTTGAGAAAAACTGTTTCTTTCAGTATTTTAAAATATAGTAATTGATGACTTTTTACTAACTTTTGAGGCCCCCAGAAAGAGTGGGCCCTAGGCCCGTGCTTATTGGGCCTAGGCGATAATCAGGCCCTGCATGGCACTGCTCAGTTACCAAAGTCAGGACTTTAGACTCCCCAGATTTTTTTAGCATGAATATCGCATGTATTCTGTGGGTCTTCATGCGGCTTTGAGAATCAATCTCGGCATCTCCGGACCGAAATTCGTTGCTCTAACCATTAACCTTAATCCACTGTGAGATACACATACATTTGCAGACTTGCGTGTTCATTACAAAGCGACTTATAAACCCTCGAGAATTTCATGATAAAATAGTTCATAGAGTAGGACAGCCCAAAGAAACAACAAGAGTTACGGCAGGTTTTAAACGGGGAAAGGGGGATTTCGGAACCATGAGACCACACGACCAGGGTGGTATTAACACATTCAGTCTTGTGTGCTCATTACAAAAAGGGTTAATAAGTCTCTGTCAATTTGAAAAACAAGAACTAACAGTTATTTAATTTTATTGTTACAAAAAACTATGCAAAGTTGTGTGTTCAATACAAAAGAACAGATAGTACAAGTTCGAGAAGGACAGCACAAAGATACATACAGGATACAGGCATGATTCGAACCAGCTAAAAATTACCTCCAAAATTCAGAGCTTCTACAGGAATGGTGATATCGGCAAAGTACGGTATGAACCCAAGAACTTCTCTGTAAAAGTTCAACACTGTAAACACTCGACCATCTCATTTTACCTTTGAAACCGATTTTAATTCCAGATATTTTAATTTTACAAATATTATATTGAGTTATAAAATAATCGTTATCGGTATTAATAAAGTGTATAAGAGCACTGAATCTCTAATCTCGGCTCCAGTTAATGGAAACACGCTCAGGTTGTGCTCTTCCCCAAGCAGGGGAAAATTCTGCTAAATCCTGAAAGCTACAGACCCATTAGTTTGCTGACCGTATTTTCAAACATTTTTGAGAAGATAATCCTCAACAGACTAAAGCCCCATCTCAATTTTATCCCGGATGAGCAATTCGGTTTTCGAGAGCACCTATCCACCACTAAACAACTTGTGAGAATTATTGAGAATATTAACCAAGAATTCTTCAAAAAAGAAACAACAGCGCTCCTGATGTTGGATGTGGCCAAAGCGTTTGATCGCGCCTGGCATCAGGGCCTCATATACAAGCTCATAAATTTCAATATCCCCAAAGATCTAGTGCTACTAATTAATAATTATCTGACAAACAGAACTTTTCATATGAAGATCAATACAGCCGTTTCTACCACTAGATGCATTAGAGCAAGAGTCCGTAAGGACCAATCCTCGGCCCTGTGCTCTACCTAATTTATTCAGTGGACTTTCCAAATTTTAATAATGTGAGATGCATCACCTCAGCCTTTTACGCGGATGATACTGCCCTTATGATCAGATCCATAAATCCTAAGAGTTAGTTACTAATCTCAGTAATATCATACCTCATATCGAAGACTGGAGCACAAAATGGAAGGTAGCCATCAACACCACCAAATCTTCACTGCTAATTATTAGAAAATCAGGTAAAAAGAAAGTCATTTATCCAAATATTACTCTATTCAATGATGCAATACCGCTAGTTCGAAAGGCCACCTACCTATAGGCATCTACATTACTAGTACTTTAAACTGGAATTCCCATATTGATAATCTTATTAGCAAAGCGCAAGGAGCCTATTGAGCCCTGAGGTCGATATTAAACTCTAACTCAAAACTTACACTTAAAACAAAACGAACGCTATACCTCTAATGTATTCGACCGATCATCAGCTATATGCAGCCCCTGCATGGAGCACAACCACTGCTACTCAAAAGAATAAACTAGAGAGTACTCAAAATAAATTTCTCAGATATACATCTCTAAAGCCCCCCTGATTCATAAAAATGAAAGATCTAAGAAAAAATTTAAAAATCAACTAAGTAGTAAAATTCTTCAGAGATGCACTCTCTTGTGATACGTGTAACTACTTTAAAAACTTTGATTTTGAGCTCATCAAAGACAATATAAAATATAGCCCGGCAACCGCCTTTTTCCTATCCGATGAAGTACTGTCCCGTAAATTTAATTGAACAGATTTTCAAAATTTGTTTCTTCCTTGCTTAAATAACTTGCAACCCCTAATACGTATGCTTTTGCTTTAATTTTTAAGTATTCTAAAATATATATTAAAGGCGGTTTTTGCGGACCATCCTGTAAATGTTTGCATATAGACTAAAGATATTTTTAAAGTTAAGGATTTTACTTTTGACTTTATTTTTGAAAGTGCAGTAATTAAAATTTATCTAAAGTGTACTTTCCTTTTTTCTTCTTCTTTTTTTGAAAATAATTTTCACGTGTAAAATTTACACCCAATAGCAGTATGAGCTTTTGCCCCTTTTTGAATTTCAGGTTCAAATTCAGAACTTTAGCTTGTATTTTAAAACTAGATTTCTTTTATACTTTCTAAGAATATTTTTGCTTTCAAATGATGTATTTGCTTATCATGAGGATCACAATTCAAGGATGAGGCTTATCACAATTCAAAGATATAAATCCTAAAAACTAAAGTTCTAGAAAAATTTCTTAAAATTGAATGGTTTTATTATAAAGTACACATTGTAAAAAGTTTCACATAGGAAAATTTTAACAATTATAAAAGCTTCTAATTTTATGAATTTTTTTATTAAACTAAAATTATTTTGCAACCAAATCGAAAATTTTCAAATTTTGCCTTTAAATTAATTAAAAGAAGCTATTTTTCTAGTTCATGATTAATTATTTGATTAAAAATTAAAGCTTAAATGTTGATGCGTGAATACGCTAATTCTTCCAGGAAAAATACATTTTAATATATATTTATAATTTTTTTATTATTTTATTCAAAAATAGTCGAAAAAATTTTAAATTGTAAATTATACAATTTTTACGAATTTAATTTCACGTTACAAAATACAAAATTTGAGCGAAATCGGTCGAATAGCTCCTGGGAAATCAATTTTTTTTTTTAAAAATCAGATATTCAAAACTAAATAATTACATTAACTAAAAATCTGTGAATAACTGTTTCCTACAATATTACGCCAAAATGGGTATTAACCTTTGGCAGTCACAGGGAATTGAACAATGAAAATTAAAGAAATTACGCTTCCATGTTTTTTTAAGCAATCAAAATAATTGTAAAAGTATAATACAAAGAGTTGGTAATGTTTATTTTTCTTCCCACAACTCATAATATACTGTTAGAGATTTAATACTTTATATAGAGTGATACGTGACGACTGTTCTTTTTAGATACTTGAAGAACTTTTGTCAAAAAAGAAACGAAAAGTATACATTTCATGGATCACATATTCACATATTAGGACGAGAAAGGAACAAAAAATACATAAAAATCACACGAATTAGAACTGACGAAGGCTAAAATTAGTTTTTTTAGAACTTGTATGATTGTTACAGGAAACATAAAAATATTAAATGTTAATTATTAGGAACTCCTCTAAGTATCATCAGGCAATTACACTGGTTTTGGTATTTTTCATCCGACCTTTCCCGTAAGTTATTCAATAGATTTTGACAACGCATTTTTTTTCTTCTTCACTTTTAGAAATTTTCAAACCCTTTATGTGCATAAGACAAGAATTTTAAAAACATATAAATTGGGTGGTCATGGTAGAACACCGAGGGGATGTACCGGACAAATCCATCGTCAAGCAAGCTTTTTTTAAAAAAAAAAAAAAAATNCAAGCTTTTTTTTTAAAAAAAAAATACTGAAAATATATCTGTGGTTGAAAATTAAAAATAATAACTAGGAATAAACATCAAAAAAAAATTTAAAATTACCTGCAATCTTAAATTTTTATCATCAATATACGTGACGTACAAAAGAACTTTACGGCTATCTTTCAAAAAACCTGATGAAATGTTTCTCGTCAGCTCTCCTTCCAACACCCAGCTATTGTTTTTGGTAAGAGTAAACGAGTAGCCATTGTAATCTTTTGGGAAGTAACAAGATGGTACACCCAAATAAGAAGAATTAATCAGATCAAAATCAGATACACCGAGATCAGATGATGGATTATAACAGCAACCTCTCTTCAAACATTCAGTTTCTGTTATTGGCCGGTCCGGATGGCAATCGAATTTCTCTGAATCGGGAATATTCTTGCAATCTTCTGGTAAAGAAGGGTTTGATTCATTATGTATTGAAAAAGTTCTACCATTTATTATCCAAAATGAAAATGTACCCACAAGGCCAGCAGTTATTACAGCTGCGATTAAAAATATCACTTGCCTCTTTGTCAATGAGCGATTTTGTAGTACAACTTCCTCTTCGATTGTATCATCACTATTATCTCTTATTAAGGGTTCCATATTTAAGATTAATAAATTTTTTTAAGAAACAAACATTTTAAAAAGCATCTTTCCATACCACGCGTATTAACTTTTGTTTTGGCTTTTAATCATTCAAAAATAGCTTATCACAAACGAGATAAAATTACTCATTATCTTCAAAAGATTGCAGGGGAATGCTATATGATTTTAATCAGCTGAAATGTTTTGTTATTTATTAGAATCCAAACATTCAAATATCAGCTCTATTAAATTTTTTTGGAAAACATTACTTTGTCCCCTCCCCTTATCACTTCGTTCAAAACATAATACATTCCTCACACTTTTTTTTTGTAATTAATTGATATAGTTCCTTATAAAGGCCTTAATATAGAGGCATGTTGTCATTGTTTGTAACAGAACAATACCTTTTTGATTATAATAAATCTATGGTCTGTTAAATAAAAGTCTGAATATCATTTTTCTTTACTAAACTTAATTCAAGCTGCAGCTAATAATAAGATATGCATGCAAACATGCAAAAACAATAAGATGAACATAAAATAAGAGTATGCGAGAAACAATTAGTTAAAAAAATGTTAGGGGAAAAAAGTGCTATTCTTGTTTTACTGGTATTGCAGTACATTAGTATTCAAAGTATCATAGTTTGTCTTTGAAAGTTTATCATTTGATGCCTTATAATGTTATAAATAGATACATTATTTATAAATGTTAAATTATATGCTTCATAATTCAATAAATAAATATATGCTTTCACAGCTAACTATTAAAACAAACTTGATCTTTCCGGAGATATCTTTTAAATAACACTTAATTAGTCTTAGGCCTGTTAAAAATATTCCAAGTTCCATTTTTTAAAACTTAAATTAAGCTATAGCTGTTTGTAAGACAAACAAAACAGAGCAAGAGAAACTTAGTTTTTACCAATTAAGAAAACGGGAATTAGGAAGATAAAAAAGCAAGGGTAATGCAGCACACTCCAATTTAAAATACCTTTGGAAGTTTATGGTGTGATACTTCATACTGTTATGAATAAATTCATTCTTTACAATTGTATAATTACATGTTTCTTGATTCAATGAATAAATATATGCCTTCTGAGATTGCTATATGAAAAAATTACACCTTTCAGGATAAATTGTTTTGATTATACTTAATTAGTTAACGGCTAATTAAAAATCGCCTAAATTTAATTTTTAATTTCTTTAAAGCATAAATCTAGCTAAAGAGGCTAATAATGCAAACAAAACAAAGCAAGAGAAATTTTAGTTTTCACCGATTAAAGAAATGGAAATTTAAAAGAAAAAAAAAGCGTTCCAGTTCTATGGGCTTGCGTTGTGCATTTTTATTCTTAACAGATAGATCGAATATAACAATTTTCCTTTAAAAAATTATGATTTGATGCCAAAACAAAATATATCAGCCAAAAGTACAAGGACCAGATGAAAATGCTATATGGCGAAAACAAAATGTGTTCTTATAATTTTTTCATCAATGAGATTCGTTTTAAATTTGTTTCAGTAAAGAAACGAACGTCTTATTTTTAAAAAATATATATTTCTCATTCTATAATGACGAAAATATAATGGAATATTTTTAAATAAGTTTTAAACATATCAAATTATGAAAAAAACCAGGTGAATCCGGAGAAATAAGTCAAATCTAAAAGTTATAACCGAAAAGATCTGGTTTATTAGTTCTCTAAGAAAGCATATATTTATTTACATTAAATAAATAATCCAAAGAGGCTGAAGCGGTAAGATATTACCCGATTAAAAACTTCCTTCGTTTCAAAAATATATAAATAGAAAATAAAAGTCGACATGTTTCAAGCGCTCAAAAGCAGGCTCCCATTTTCGGAACCTGACGGGGAGAGAAAAAGATGAGTAGTAACAAAGTCTGCCATATTTCAATAAAAATCATGTCTCTGGGGGTTCTGAATTGGAGATGGATGATTGTTCTCTAGTTCAGGTCAAAATTACAATTTGTGGCTGAATGAATGGATTTTTGCAGGGATCCGTCTTATAAACGGGTCGTGACGTGCATGTGTCTGAAGTCGTATTCTTGGCTATTTCTCTTTCGCATGCCTGTTAAGGCAGAGGGATGCGATTATTCTTGTTTTCCAGTGGTACCATCTATGGCCAAGTTCTTGACTATAAATGACGCAACTGAAAAGCATGAAATGCACCTTCTGCCATAAATACGTTTAGTTACACCATGCAGGCTTGTTGGATTGGCAAGTGGGATTAGAAACAATGGTGATCAAAATCATTGTAAATCAAATTAACTAAAAAGTAAAATGTCAAAGCAAAAAATCATGCTACCACTTTAAAATTTCAAATAAATAAATAACTTAAATAAGTAAAGTTGGCGTGTGTGAAATCAGTCACCCCAGAGACTCTGTATACAAACTGCTTATATTTTTTAATTTTACTGTAATTTCACGATGAATGGGATATGGGTCTTCTGCGCGGCCCAGGTGTCCAGCTTTTGCTAAATAAAGTAAGTAAAGCGTGTGTGAAATAGAATACGTTAAAGTGAGGGGAAACGTTCTAAGTTGAAGCCTGTTGGCTGTTAGTGGAACTTTCTTTTCAAGATTATTGATAAAAAGAAACATTTCACCCAATCAACCTTTGCTTAGAATTATCTTTGGATAAACGAATATATGTATTTTTTTAGTTTAAATGAAAATTTAAAATAGTTTTCGATATATGGTGAAATACACAAAACGTAAAATTAACATTAAGGGTTACAAACTTTGGACAGCTTTCCTGACCAAACTATTGAAACCATATTTCTTAGAATGCTGCTACCCCTTATATTTTGGGGGTCAAAAATAAGAATCCGTCGAAAAAGGGTATGTTTATTCAGAGAAAGTACGCTTTTGTGTCTGATTTCGTAACTTAAATTATAGTCTTCACTAATTAATTAGCGTATTTGAGGTCATTCTCTCAAACTATTAAGATTGAGTCCTGGGACGTGAAAAACCGATCATTAGATCAAAAGTTGTTTAGGGTGGACCGTTTATTTTTTGGCACACTATACATTACACTAAAATTAGGAAGATAAGAACAACGGATTTATAGTACATGAAATTAATTTACTTGAATTTGTTCATAAAAACTCAAACTTCGTTCATAAATAACAATAAAAATTAGATATACTTTATTATTTACAGATATTACAACATAACGTAATAATATACAACAGACATAATAATATACATTATTATTTTAACTTCTCAAAAGTTATTACATGAAACATGCATGTCACATAAGAATATTTTCTGTAAGAAATATTTTTATATATACTTCTAATGTAAAAATATTTCCCATAGGAATATTCTTATATACTTCTCATGCAAAAGCATAAGCAACTAATGAATTATAAAACTACGAATTCATGTAAATAAATATGACAGTAAAAAAAAATCTTTACCTCATAATGTAATTATCTTTATAATTAATTGAAAAAATTATGTGAATAGTTCTATAATGAATTATTCAAGTAATGCTACAATACTTTAAGTATAATTAATCACAGTTAAATAAGACATGTAACACTACGTTATACATTTAAAAAATGTTATTATTACAGCTCTCTTAAAAATTCTCTAAGAATTCATTCGCTCTAGAGCTTGTTGCATTCTTCAGTTGTTATTTTGTTCCAATTTTCCTTTTATTCTTTTAGTTCCATTTAACAACCAACTGTTCTTTAAGAGAAGATCCTTTGGCAGTTATAGTTAAGGTAGTCTGTAAACGAAACAAATAATTAGTAAAGCAAGAGGAAAAATGTGGTTTCAAAAATTAAGAAAAATATATTTTTGCAGTCTGAAGTACAAAAAGCGCAAAATTAAGGTTGCGTACTTTTATACTTTTAATAATTTTATCACGTAATCATTATTTATATTTTAAGGTACAGATGTCTGTATTTATATAATAAAATGTAAGAAACGTCTGCAAACCTTAATTAGAAAAAAATGTTTTTTCTTAAAATTTTATATAAATTTGCCAATTAAAATTTTATATAATTTATTTAAAAAAATTAATAAATGAGTAAATAATAAGCAAATAAATAAAGTGAAATAAAAATTAATAAATAAAAAAGAGCAGAAAATGAAATAAAATAAGCAAATAAATAAATAAAACAAAATTAAACAAATAAATTCCAATAAAAAGTTAATAAAAAATCAAATAAACAAATTATCAATATATTAATTTTTTTACTTTCAATATGTTAATTAATTTAAATCAATACATAATTTTTCTTACTTGAATTAGGCAAAAAATATTATGAGTCTTTAGAGCTAATTTAGAAGTGAATTATGCAGTTTAGAAGTGAATGTGCAGTTTTGAATTCTGTTAAAAGTTCTATTATAATAATTATTATTATTTCATTTCGGATGATTTTTAATTTTTTATCTGAGCTATGGTTTACGTAGCCGAAACTCGATGCTAAATCTCTCCATTGTAAGCTTTAGTATAATCCTAATAATAAAGTTTTATGAGGAAAAAAAACTCTTCATGAAATTTATACTTGAAAAAATTTATTTAATTAACAAAAATTTTTTAAAGGCTTATTATTATTTCATTTCGGATGATTTTTTATTTTTAATCTGAGCTACGGTTTACGTAACTGAAACTCGATACTAAATCTTTCTATTGTAAGCTTTAGTATAAACCTAATAATGAAGTTTTATGAAAAAAACTCTTCAGGAAATTTATACTTAAAATAAATTAATTTGATTAACAAAAATTTCTTACTCACCAATAAATTATTTATGAAATCTTACTTTAATGTTTAGAATCATTTTAATAAGTAGAATTGCCTCACAAAAATCTTATTAAGGAGCATTATATTAGAAAATTTCACTTTGATTTCTCCAAAAACTGAAAAATTTGTCTGATGAGAGAGCAATATTACATTTTATAAAATTACTAAATCTATCGAAATAAGAATTTTTTTAGATAAGTAATAATGTAAGAAATGCTTTTTGAGAAAGATAAGCTTTATTCTACAAATTGCAACCAAATTATAAAAGGTGTTCCTTAATCATTACCCTTAACATATATTTTGGTCTTCTTGTTAAAAATGAAGTAACAAATTATATGCATTAAAGACAGCACTTTATTATATTTCAGCCAGGAAAAGTAATAATATTATCAAAATTTGACGAATTATTAATGGCGGAGACCACTAAAAACTTCCAGAGCGTCTTTGTTTGCAGTAAAAAAATGTGAGGCGAATTGTAGACGGCATTCAAACTGTTTTTGATATTTTTATACCACATTTTACAATGATTTGCCATTTTTTGAGAAAATTTTTTCTTTTTCGTGAAGTTTTTAAGTTTTTTTTTTTACACTCACATTAATTAATGACCTCTAATGCGCAAATAAGTATCGTTAAATTTTTGAGAAGGATACAAAATTCATTTAAATTATATTTTAAGAGTGGTGTTTAACGAACACTCAGTAAATATTAGGGCGTTTGCGCAGTGTTTGTCTTGCTTTAACACTAACCCCTTTTGTACCCTTTAGGGACATAATAATTTGCAGGGCAATTTTTGCGCATGCGCTGTAAAGCTCAAATAGCATTAACGTTAAGGACAACCATATCTCCGTATTAACAAAATTAAACCATTACATCTCGTAAACCTCATTTTTTTTTAATGGGAAGGTTTTTGATAGAATAAGAATAGAAATTCACATAATTTTAAGAATTTTAATGATTTCGAACTTGTAGTATTCCTAACAATAATAATAAAATAACTTACTTCATTGTATTCAAACTTTGGAGCGTCTTGTCCATTGATCGTTACTTTAGTTGGCCTTTGATTTACACCAAATACTCTGATTACGTTTAGGTTTAACAAGCTATGGAACTGATGCTTGATAATGGTATTATTGAATGTGTTCTAGAAAATATAAAATATAAAATATACTTATTTCAAAAAATCATAAAAAAAATAGGTCACGCTTTAATTATATGATAGAAATTAGCATTGACTGATTGCGGAATTTTAATATCGTGATATATCACCAATAAGTATCGATATTTCACGATAATTGGTAAGTTTTACAAGTTTCAAGCTTTCAGTAGTCAATATTTTCGTTTTTCATATGTAATTAAAGACAATATCGTATTCGATAAGATTTATTTAATCCCAACTTAGGCCGCAAACTCGATGAAACAACAATACACTCCAAAAAGTAGTAGAACCAAGCAAACAGACTCTCAGGCACAAGGCCCCGAGTCGTGAACGAGTGAGGAATCACTATGCGTCGAAAAACGGAAAGAGGCCGGCGGGAGAGCTCGTAGTTGCTAACCATTCTTATACATAGCACAGGGGGACAAAGTTTTTATTGTATTTATAGAAAGACATGATTTTTCCTAATTCGGGTGAGGAAATTTCAAATCTGTAATTAGTTTTGTTCCTAAAGCTACAGATTTTTTAAATTATAAAGTGCATATTTATTCTACTTTTTGTTCAAATGAGAAAGTTTAAAAACGTTATAAATAACAGATAACAGGGGTTTGCGTAAATGTTCGACTAGCATCTAGGGTTGATGGACACATTATCAGGACTAAAATTGCATTGAAACAGATGTCCGAAAATGTGGTCGTACGCGGCTAGAGTTGCTTCCTTTTTATGACGTATTCAGAAGCACATGAAGTAACAGTTTAAAATAGGAAAGCTCCCCTAGCGGCGTAAGACGTTAATTCCTCGGCAATGACGTATGAGCATGGGTTCCGATGCAATTTTAATCCTGATGATGTTGGTCGTAACCGAAGGAGACCCTAGAAGTTTGTCGCAACGTTTAAGTGAGTCTCTGTTATGTATAACGTATTTAAACTGGTAAATTTTCACAAACAATATACTGAAAATGTTGTTTTTAAAACAAACTGTAACTTTAACTGTTAGAGAGAAACCGATTGCATATTTAAAAATGGCGTTACCAAAGTATCTAAGATCTGTTAACAAATTTCATACAACAGAAGAAAAAAATGCTCCCAAATGGAAACGCTCGTGATACTGATGTCGATACATTATCGGTATTTAGCATAAAATATAGTATTTAATATATCATATGAATATAGATTAAGATTTTGCTATTGCGATGTTTTGAAAAGAGTACTATGCATCACGATACATTGCATACATTTAACAAAAATATTGCAAAACTGATGTATACCTACTGAATATTAAATTGTCTTACCTTAGCAGCTGTGAATTTATTTAGGTTGTAAACTCCGTTCTTGTATGTATCTGAAGCAAAAATTAATAAGAGTCAAATGAAATTTGTTACACTCAATGATGTTATACAGTAAAATTAATATGGAAAAGAATGGTTTTTTAAATTAAACTGTGAAACTCTGTTCTTTGATGACTTCACATCAACCTTCAGTGATTGACTATAAACAGATTGTTACATTAAAATCAAAAATTATTAATTTCAAAAATTTTTTTTTATCCTGATAAAGCAGATTTGGTTCTACGGATTTAGTTTTCGATTATCTTACAACAGTGTTTCCGAAACTTAAGACTTTTTTGTACCCTTTCTAAATTTTTCGTAACACTGTGTACCACTAATAAGAAAATGAATGTATTTTTTCAAAAATATGCTTATTTTTCTCTTTTGGTACGAAGTATTGTTAATAAGTTCATCTGCATCAGTAAGAAGAATGATATTGTTTTTGCTGTGATAACAGCTGAAAGTGCTGAAGCTAAAGTGCAACAGCAAAAAATAGCCAATAGAAAAATACGTTGTCGTAAATTTTCATAGCTAGCTTTGTTTTAAATTAAAAAAATTTTGAAATTTTCGTTTGTTGCAAGATATTTCGTATAAGAACGCGTACCCCCGCTAATCTATTCCCTTACCCCTGGCGGTACGCGTACCGCGCTTTGGGAAATACTATCTCAGGATAATAAAATTTAAACTTATTTCTTTTCGGGTACTATCACAATTCTATCTCCAAACTTTTTTTTTTCTGAATTAGCATTTGGTTCTTACAAAAACTTTCGAAATATATTTTTGAAACTTTCGCCAAAGAGATTATTTAGTCAAGTTGTTATGAATTAATTCTTAATAATGCTTTAGAATACTGAAAACAAATGTTTAAAATGTCCAAAAACCGACACTACATCCTTCTGTGAGTCTTGGCCTTTCTTGGCATCTGTGAGACTTTCCTATTTTTCGCTTTCCATTTCCAGTTTTCTCCGTGAAGGTGTCCCGCAGTGGACTGATCGTTAAGACATGGTTTCCAGCAGATCACCGAAGTCAAGCATCACTGGCTGCGGTCAGTGTGCGGATGGGTGACCACTTGGATCAGTCTGAGTAGGGACCGAGGGTGTGCGGTATTGGTCCTCGTTAAACTGTTCTACCGTAAAGTGCTCGACTTCGTGTGCAGGTCGTCGGGTTACCGAAGCGGGGATGCCATCCCCTCTGCAGAGGATCAAAATTGTGATGGCATGTCTTCGGATCATCCTCAGGGATGTTCCCCAGACCGTCGCCAACAGCCTATTGTGCAGCTCTAGTGCGACGTAAATGAACAACAACAGCCAAATAAAATAAATTATGAAAAGATAACTTAGGATTACGCAATTGAGAAGTTCTCTTCCAGTAATTTCCTTGAATTTTCGTAGTTGCTAATTTTTTTTTCCGCAATTGAAACTTTACGACTTATTTAAGGTTTGACTGAACTTTCTTTTTCTTTTTTTTAAATGTTAAATTAGTAATAGAAGTGAAGGAGAATTTGCGTCAAAAAGTTTCTCTTATGGTATGGCGTTCTCTTAAGTGAGATAAATCAATAAACGATTTTTTTTGCAATTTACAATTTAAATACCATCGTTTTATGGTTATTTAATTGTTTTGGTGTTATGTATGGTAAAATTACTATATTTTATCATTTTTTTGTGGAGAAATTTTTAACGGTGGTGAGATCATAATTATTTAGAAAAATTTATTTTTTTAAAAATGTTTCTCTTAATTTCGTTCATAAAGAACGTCATCAATTTTAAAATATACAAATAAAGGAACCATTTGGAGTCACAGGGAAAACTTACTATATTTTAACATTTTTTAAAAAAGAAGCAAAAAAGATAAGAAAATTCGATTTTTAATTTTTCAGTACTTAACTAATTTTATTGAGAACAATGTTTTACTTATGATAAAAAAGCATAGTGAATCAGATATGGTTACCTAATGAATCTCCATCGTCCCAATAAAACTCTCCCGAAGCCTCTTGTTTATCATCCAATGCAACTAATATATCAAACTCATTTTCACGACTGAAAGAGAAAAAACAAACAGAGGATATAGTTCTTTTTAACTTTTAATAAGTAAATTCAATGTTATGATTAATGCGTAAGTTAAGGAATAGTACATCAAAGGTATTCGGATGTTTTGAACCATGTCAAAACGGTCAAAAATAAGTTGTGTTGATGAAGAGGATATATGCTTCACGCTTTTACCAAACTGTACCAAGGGAGAAGTGATTTGCGGTTAAGAGCTCATGAAAGTAGCTGAGCAAAGAAAAGAATCACCAATCGCAGATATAAATTAAATTATTTGTAATCCGGCAAAACCACAAAAAAAATATGGTGCTCCATTACCTGTGGAGAGCATCAAGCCAAATAGCAGAGATGCAAAAAATACGTATATTTCACCTTTAAGCTTTACTAAGCAGTCAGAAAATTTACGTAAAACTAAAACGTCGAATCATAACAAAAAATTGTTATCCAAAGATCAGAAAATTTGCATAAGTAAATTCGAACCGAAATTTTGCTTTGCCAATAATACGTAAAATACACAGAATTTTATTAAATGTAAATAGCAAATATTTTTTCGTCAATCTTTCGTAAAATATACGAAAGCAATCTTACTGAAGGGTAATTGGTAAATCTATCCCGTTAATAATACGTAAAATGTACCAATTTTTTTTTTACCAAATATCTCAATGGTAAAATCATTATGACGCCCGGTGGCTGAGTGGTAGCTCTTCGCGCTCCCGTGCCCCAGGTCCTGGGTTCGATCCTCGGGCCGAGCAAGGCCCGAGGATCGCTCAGCCTTTCATCCCTTCAGTGGGTCGATAAATGAGTACCAAGCATGCTTGGGAACTAAACACTTTGGGTTCCACGTTTGGCTGATCACCTAACCGGAACATCTGCTCTTGCACCCCAGAGCCCAAGGTCAAGAAAACTGAGATGGGCGATGGGCACAGTAGGCCTTGACCCTCTATGGGCTGTCGAGATGCTGAGCTTAGTTAATATCATTATGTCAATATTATGTAAAATTTACGCATATAGCATACTGACGTTACCGATTTCCCTAAGATTTACGCTTAATTTACGTATCATGCTACATGGGAAATCTATAAGGCACTTATTTGATAGAGAAAACCCAACAGAGATAGGAAAACCCTATGACGAGAACTCTCCTTTACCCAGGCGATCAGAAAAGCTTCACAGGTTAAAAGTAATCTTTCGTTAAACTCTCCAAAAGCTCGAAAAAGTATGCACGAGAGTTGACCGTGTGTGTGAATTTGTAAGTTTCAAGGCTAGAATCGTTTAATAAAGCTTAAAAAGAAAACTAATTTACTTGAAAGGTTTCCGTGTTGATCGTAGCAATGGAGGCAATGAGTAGAAAATAATTTACCTTCATGAAAACTAATTTTTAGCTAATAAATAAATTTAAATTTTAATGTTGCAATTCTTGCATAGAACAAAAAATACTATAGTAAAGATATTCGGATGTTTCGTCACGATACATGCTTACAAACTTGAATGAAACTTCGTTCCTTCAGGAAGTTTTTTTAAACACCTAAATTACAGTTTTCATTATTGCATAGAGCACAGAATACTGTAATAAAAATAATAGGATGTTTCATTACCACCCGTGGCCATTACAGCAACCATAATAATTGTAAAATGGTTAGTATGTTTAAATATATATTTAAATAGGGAGATTTCACACTTTTACCGTATTACCGTACAGCTTCTGTGTTCTCCCGTACGTAAGATGTGAAGCAACTGCGCATGCTCGCGTTCATTTTAAATGCTACGAATCTTTACGTTATGTTGGCGTAATTAACGTTACAAAAACAAGGCTACAGATACCCTGTTTATGGATGTTAAAGGTTGTTTTCTGTTTAAGTTGACCTTCAAACTAAAAACATGGACGTGGAATGCGAATTGGAAGAAATATATTGATGAAATTCAAAAATGAATCGTGATGTATTGCGATTATCTTACATGTGTAGTTTAAAGCAAACTATTGTAAGCTATGGTTGTTTGTGGATCACATGCAGAAACTAAATTTATTCAATCTCCGGCAACAAATCTAAATAATATGCCTTATTACTGACTTCATCGAAATCTACCAAATTTTTCTGCTCACAGAACCACAATTTTACGTAGAACAAAGTATTTTGAGTCGTATACCACAGCTTTGTAGAGAACGTCTACGTTCATTGTAAAAGTTTGTTTTGATTTTGCGGCCAAAGTTAAAATGATATTCCACTACATTAGCGTTTTTAATTTACTGATTTTGGCTAAATCCCTTATTTTCCCTTATGTAAGTTCGATATTTTTTCACGGACTCACACGCAATTTCTTGAAACCTTACGTACGAGAGCGTCCGGAAGCTGACGTAAATTTGAGAAATCTCCCAAATATGTTGATCATAAAATGTTACGCAATGTAAGGTAATATTATTGATTACTTTTTAATAAGGAAAGTATATTACTTTATAATAGAGAAAATACCGTTTTTTAAAATTTAATTTGAAAAAATAATTAAAAATAATGATAAGAGCAGAGAATACTAAGAGAGAATGATAAATAAATGTTAGTAAATATCTTTAATTTAGGAATGTTAGGAATTAAAGAAATATTTCACAGGTAAACAATACTTCTGTGTTATTCTTTATTTACAAATGTAATATTTGCAAATATTAAATGCTTATAACCTATTTTAATTCATAGTCATTTTTTGAAAGTAAAATCAAAATTAAAATGAATAAATTATTGAACCTTTTTCTTTTTTAATAATCTTTTCCTTAAAAAAAATGTGTAACAAATTATGTACACGTTTTTCCAATTTTTTTAAATCAAAATAAGAGTAAAATAATTCCTCGTTATCTATCTTTAGATATCGATGGCTTAGGGCAGAGAGAGTTTATTGAAAGCACATTTTTTAAAGTGACATTTTTAAATTAAACTGTTTCTTAGTATTTTTTTCATGCAGGTGGTTCACAAGCTTCTAGAATTTACTGTAGATGACAGCTCAATTCACAGAAGCATATTATTATCTAAATGTTGTTTCACCAAAGTTTCTTTTTTGAACAATTTGAAAGAGACTCTTAGCTTTATATTGAATCAAACTCTTTTTAACTTGAAAAACCATGAATAATATGATCACAGAAAAAAATTGATTAAAATTAACAAAAAAGGGAAAAACAAGCTAAAGCTTATTTCGTTTTCTAATTAAGTTAAATATGAAAATGAGCAAGGTTTCTCAAAGGCGTAATAATATTCATGTCATATTAACTTTTGATAAATTAATTGTAATATAAAACATTTGGAATGTGCAAAACATATTCTTTCCTACAATCATTTAATTTAAAACGCAACGCTATATATTTTTTATTCTTCCAAAGCAATATAAAATATTTTATTAATTATTTAAAAAAGTTTCTCTTATATGTAGACATGCCAAAATTAAATTAAAACCACTTATAATTTAACTTCATATATAATGTGAAAATTAAATTACAAAACGTTACAGAAAATGAAATTTTTAAGTCGGGAATGTTATTTGTAATGTTTATAGCTAATTAAAATTGCATGTCAGCAAGCAAAGCTGCTATCATTTAGATTACGTTAGATAATTAAATGAAAGAAAATGAATATAATTTTAAATGTCAGTTATACGGTGTCTTAGAATGAACGAAACGTAAGTTTGAAAAATTAATCCTATATCTATAAATTAAGATCGAAGTATGCAATTAGTTCATAACAACATAACACTGGTAGTCAGAATTTAAACTAAGTTGAATTGCAATAAAAAGAGTTTAAATGATTAACGTATTAATTGAATTTTACTATCAAATTGAAAATCAGCAAAGCTAATCATAATCATTATTAGTTCTTGATATGTATTGTTAGAATTTGCAATTGTAAACGTCATGGAGAGAAAATTATTATTGGCAAACAAAATAAGGATTAAATCTTTCAATTTTAATGCTCCAGTTTTATAAAATGAAATATCTTACTATATGTTGCTGCANAACTACACATATATATATATATATATATTGAGATTTTTCCTATACATAATATATATCAAAAAGAGATATAATTATGCATTTTTTAATAGTAAATACTTTTTTAATCCGCGAACGGTATCATAAATCAAATAAATGTTTTCGCGTAAAAATTCTATCAAAAATACCGTACTTCATTTTAATGACATATTTGGTAAACAGAACAAGCATAATTTTGGTTGACAAAACCAAAATATATGGTATTTAAGCTATTAATTTGGTATTTTTCAGCTCGTATGGTAGCAGTTTACCGGAAATTCTGGCTTTCAAAATTATATTTCTTATTACCACGCATTTAGTAAAAAATACAAAACTGAAAATGAAATTTAATAGAATAAAGGGTTTTTATCCTATTCTTTAAGAAATCATGCTGAAATTGAAAAATTTTCCCGCATTCACCAAATTTTGTCGCACATTATGAAACCATAATTTTTGTTAATTTTACCATAATCATTATCAAAGCACTTCAAGAAAAATTACCGAACGATTTGGTGTTCTCATAGAGCCAGATATATGATATACTTTATGAATTTCTGGTAGTTTCAACCATACCTTTTCTCTCAGCGTAGATAATTAAAGTATTTAAATATTTAAATAATAAAACAGACTAGTATTTGTATTATGTAAACAATTACCAAATTTATAATTAGTTTATTTCCAACATGAATTATTTTAACAAATAAAAAAAGTAGTTTTGAATACTTTAAAACGCTTAAAAACAAGTTTATAATAAAACAGTAAAAGTTTCGAATAAAAATAAAAGAAAATATTAGCGAATCAGAAAATAGTTTATTGAATTCTTAAAAAAGCTTAAAAACAAGTTTGGAATAAAAATAATAGAAATTCAACTAACAAATTAGAAAGCAATTTTTGTAATGCTTTCATAAATTTAAATACAGGTTTTGGAGTAAAAAATCGTAGAAATTTAAAAATAATATATATAAATAAATACTTCACGAAAAGTATAACTGAATTAAAAAGTAGTTTTTTGATGCTTTAATAGGCATGCCCTGCTAATGTAAAATATCCTCAATATTTAGATTGAGTATGAATTTTAGCCTCATTGCCATTGTGCAACCTTGATAAATTTGAGGATTTTTTTCTCCTTTAGGAAGAAAAATATTATTCTGAACAAATGTTTCTGACTCTTCTTTATAAATCAGAAACTCTTTTTTTTTTTCAATTCGGATTCAATCTTTTTACTTACTTACCTAAAAAACACTACATCCCTCTGTGAGTCTTGGCCTCTGTGAGACTTTCCTATTTTTCGTCTTCAACTTTCTCCGTCAAGGTATCCCGCAGTGAACTGATCGTTAAGACACGGTTCCCAGCAGATCGCCGAAGTCAAGCATCACTGGCTACGGTCAGTGTGCGGGTGGGTGACCACTTGGATCAGCCTGCGTAGGGAGCGAGGATGTGCAGTATTGGTCCTCGTTAAACTGTTTTACCGTAAAGTGCTTGACTTCGCGAGCAGGTCATCGGGCTATCGAAGCGGGGTGCCATCCCCTCTGCAGAGGATCAAAATTGTGATGGCATGTCTTCGGATCATCCTCAGGAATGTTTTCCACACCGTCGCCAGTAGCCCATTGTGCAGCTCTAGTGTGACGTAAATGAACTACAACAGCAACAATCTCCGTCAAGGTGGTTACATACTTAGTGGCATCGTCCAATCATCTCTTTTTCGGTCTTTTTTTAGGTCTCAAATGTTTCCATTTTTTTTCTGATTTCTATTATGATTTAATCTCTCAATGTGCCCAGACATGCCAAACATTTGAATTCAATAAATCGAATTATGCTTTTTTGTCTCATTAAATAGTCTTGTTCACTTCCTTTCTTATTCTCCACTGTGTATTATTTACTTCAATTGGTTCTTTTCAAAATAACCCTTTCGAAGATTAGTATGCCAATCATGTTGAAAGATTAGTGCCTTACATCAACAACGTCAAACGAATGTTTGTCGATGGTGATAAAACTAAATAAAAATAACTCACCTGTCAGCGACCGTTTGAGCAGGTAACTGCAGAGGCAATATATATCCACCTCGCACAGCCAAATTGATGTGAGTAATGTTAGCAGAAAGCGTTTTATTCTCAGCCTTATCAGTAATACGCTTTCCATCATAGAAATCATACCACACAGCTTTTGGAAAATAAGCTTCCACTTCCTTAATGCCCTACAGTCAAAAAACAAAGATGTAATAAATTTAACAATTTATATTTTTCTATTAGATATGAAATTTTTCTCGGTTATATTCAGTCGCTTCTGAACTTACCGGATATAAGGCCGGAATTACATAGAGAGCAGGTCCCCAAAGAAAGGCTTCGTCTATACTTAATGCAGTTTGATCGCTAGGAAATCTATTAAAAAATACATATAAATGAATATAGATAAACTTAAATATTATATTGGGTACTGATTCAGAGATTTGAATTAGACTTATGTGAATGTATGAATTCAATGATGTTACAATGCATGGAGTTAATTATTTATTTTTTCGTTTCTTAATTATGCTGTTAAACGTAAGGCAGACAGTTTCACTCCATTTATTATATCAAACGAACACTGTTGTTATAGATTTTAAATAGAATTTTATTTATTAAATATTTTGTATTTATTATATTCATTAGAAATTGTTTAATTGTGAAAAAATTATAACATTTTTACAAAAACTGCTAAAACTTTTAAATATACATTCAATTTATTCAAAGTTTAGCAAGTTAAATGCTTATTTAAAACTAGAAAATTGTACGGCAATTTTTGCTAAAATGTATAATAGAACCTAAATCCTGAACATACATTTTTTTACTAAAAAAACTGAGTGTAAAAAATATGATTCTAGGATATGCTAATATGGGAGTAATAGCAGTTAAATAGATTGATAACAAAAGCAACAAAAGAATTAAAAAATATTTCAAATTAATTACATTTTAGTTTTGAGTAAAAAGCAACCAAATCATTTTAAAGAATTTCAGTTTTTTTAATTATTATTTTTTGAATTAACACTCACCGAGTCTAACCGGTTACTATTAGTTTATAGCCAAGCGAAGTTTTAAAGTTTAAAATCATGCACAATAAATATCTTTTAGAAATTCATCTGAAAATTGTATTGCAGTAAAAATATTTATACATTGATCATAATGGTATTTTGCTTAAACATGATTTTATTAAATTATTTATTCCTGTCTTTTTTTGTAATTTTAATACTTTATCCTGAAACGATAAAAAAAATTTAAAACAAAATAATCATTGCAATTTTCAAATAAAACGAATGGTTCTATCATTATAGAGGTATTTCTTTCATTATTTACATTTTTGCTTTTAAATCTGAAAATAGCTTAATCAAATTGTTAATTTTTTCTAATAAATACAAGGAAAAAACCAAACAGAAACTATAAAAAAAAATTGCAATGAACTTTATATGGGATAATTTAAAAAAAAAAAACTCTTTAACTATTCTATAATAGTAACATGCATACTCGAAAAACAATGGTCTCACAGCTGTTTCACCAAAAACGTGACTTCTATAGAATAGATAGTAAAAATATGGAAGAAGATAATAACGAGTTCCCAAGGCATTTTTTGTTGCCTCGAGTACATCTCCACCCAGGAAAGCTGGATCTTGCTCCTAAAAATAGAATAAAAGATAAAATGTTAAGTCCAAACTCAAAAATATTTTTTTTTCCTTCTTTAAGAACACGGAAAATATTAAAATTTTTCTTTCCAAATAATATCAATGATTTATTATGAAATGACATTTAGCTGGAAATAATATATATTATACGTTTAGAAATTGAATCATATAAATACAGTAAAACATATTTATTAAAGATATTTTTCATGCTTCTTTTCATAAATTTGCAGATACTTAGATCTGAGAGAAAGAGTTTATTTATCATTGAAATTTCTTTAAGTTACAAAATCAATGATTGATAAATTTGTGAACATGAATAAAAAAATGCTTTTCAAACTACTGCTTTTGGATTTTAAATTTTAATACAAATATAATTCCAATAATCTAACAGATTGTTTTAGTAACTATTAATCTGCTTTTTATAATTAAAAAATACGAAAATACATTTTTGCTCTTTTAATGAAAGCATAAGAATATATATATATAAGTTAAAAATATCGAGAAAACATGGAAAATAATAAAGATTAATGGAAAGAGAAGAAGAAAAAGTATTTAAAAAAAATATTTTGTTAAAAAATATTTTAGAAAAATATTACAAGAAAATGTATATTATAAAGCCGCCGGTAAACAAAAAAATGAAAAGACATAATCTCTTCATCAGCTCACACGACTACATCAGCAAAAAGGAGTGCTTTCTAATATTATATCAATATAGCCAAAGCATCTATATAGAGCCATATCAATNCATCAACGGGTTAATTCAAAATACAAATCAAAATTAACTTTCAAATTTCAAAGTTTGTAGACTATAAGTGTAAAGAAAATTTGAAAATTCATTTTCCAGCTTAAAAACAAAAGAATAAAAAAAATGGTGCAGAGAATCCTATTTTTAATTTTTTATATTTTATAGAAGAAACAGAGAGCGAAAATTCGTCATTTACTGACTCGGTTGCATAAAAATATTTCCTCATTTTTGAAATATTAATTTTTTTCTGCATATTAAGGTTATTTTTGTTTTCTTTCCCTAAAGAATCTGTGAAGTAATTTTAACTAAAGCTCGTGTCAGAAACAATAAAAAATAAAGTAAATTTCGATAATATAATTTTCTTCATTTTATTGACTGTAATCTGATAAAAGATAAATTTTATCAGTAAACAATGCATTTTCAACGTTAGTTAAATTCCATAATCTATTTTATACGCTTGAGAAATGAATTATAGATAGATTGAAATAACAATAAGTATAATTTTTGAGCCTGTTTTTCTATACTTTTAAGTATAGACTTACTGTTTATTCTCGTTTAATGCAAAAAATTAATTAAAAATAACGTTCAAATTTCGACCAGCTTATAGACAATAGCTGTAAAAAAAGCTTGAAAATTCATTTCCCAAATTAAAAGTAAATGTTTAAAAAGATAACGGTTCATAAAATCCTCTTTTTTATTTTTATTATTTTAAAAAGGAAAATCATAACAAATATCCGCCATTTACTGACAGGGTTGCTTAAAAATTATTTTCACCTGTTTTCCAAATATTAGTGTTTTTCTAAATATAATGTTCATATTTGTTCGTCCTTTTTTCTGAAAAGCCTAGAAAGTGATTTTAAAGGAAACTTTTGTCAGACTAGCCAATGAAAATAAATTTCTAGTATGTAATTTTGTTCATTTTAGTAACTGAAATATTATGGAGAAAAAAAAGTTTATCAGTAAAAAAGAATCAAAATAATATTTTTAAAAACCACGTTTTTGTTGTGGAGAATAATAATTAAAAAACAAAAATTTGAAAAACGAAAAACGTAGGGCGCATGAAAAACATAGCATTAACAGTATGTGTGCTCATGAGAATATGTGCATGTCTATCTGTAATTGTATCTGAATGTGAATGTGTATGTGGTTGCGCATGTGTATGAGTAAGAAAATGTGTATATGTACTGTTATGTATTTCATGCACCCCACGTTTTTCGAATTTTCAATTTTTAATTATTATTCTTAACTACAAAAACGTGGTTTTTAAAAATATTATTTTTATTTTTTTGTTCTCACTTCCAAAATCTCAATTTTTTCACTCACTGTACACAAAACTTTTCAACTGACATGTGACACTGATTTGAAATAATCGAATCGACAAAAGACAATCGCGAAAATATTAATTTTTCTTTAATTTTATTTTACTTTGTATGTCTTTTTTCTCTTCATTTTCATGCATTGTCATCCAATTCTGAATTATGTGTAAAATTTGAAGTCTGTAGCTAGTCGGGAAGTTAGTATAAAATCGATTACAAAATTCCACCCGAACAGACATACACGAAGGCAAGTTGACATAAACGTGGTAAAAATACGTTTCAACGTTAGCTAAACAATTGAGTTTTATTTTGCATCAGGCTGATGCAAAGAAAAACTTTATGCTGTTGCCAACAGTCATACTTAAGTCAAATCTCTACTGCAAATTCATATTACTGTGTGATGGATTGCTTACGCATGTTACCAAGTTTATCACTGGTAGCTTACAATTTGTAAAATTTTGCTACTGTTTTTATTAAATCAATAATATCAGTAGAAATTGTTTAAAATAATTAAAACTCATACTTACTATGGTATCAAAATCGTTATGATTTCTAGAAAATGGGTAAAATGCTCCGAGTGCTTGCCAACGGGCGCACAACTCTTCAGTGGTATTTAGACGGAATCCGCAAATGTCAGAACCAACCATGGGCATGCCATACATGTTGAACACCATCATAACTGCAAAATGGAGAAAATGTATGTGTAACTATAAGATACCTGAAAGTGACATAGTATGGGTATTTCGATCCTGATTGGTTGCGAAAACGTGGCATTTTCTTACGTCAGCAACTGTTGTTTCCATTCTAAAGCTAAGCCCGACAAGTATCAATTCTTTTAAGTGACAAGTTCTTCAGAAAGATTTCAGTTTTTTTCACTATATATTTCTTGCTTAACACAAGGACAGGCATGAAGCCATGTAGGACATAAACAAACAAATTATGCATTGAAGTTGCCATGTGCAAAAAAACGAAACTATATCACAATTACATAAACTGCATAAACAAATAATAAATCTAAGTTAAGTTAAAGAAGCATATTAACAAATTTGATCTTCAATACGAAGCTGTATTTAATTAACTTTACGTTCATTAACATTCTAACTTATACGGAGAAACTTAGCTCTACTTTAACACCCCATTTTGCCAGTTTTCTTATAAGAGAGAAGGGGAGATATTGGACAACTGGTAGCACAACGTAGGAAAGTCAGTGCCATCATGTGCACACAAAGCAACTTTCCAAGTGCTGTCGTCGCTTCAATACAGCTCACAGAATTTCTTAACTTTTCGTTTCATTCATACGCGTAATGCCAGTAAGCATGTACCTGGCCAGTATGTCATGCTGGCATGTTAAACGTGCCAGCGTCGCCAAACCTCCACGTAAGAGTTGGGTAAAACACTGTACAAGGTACAATGCCACCCTGGTGACGACAGTAGCAGTTCTAAGGATCCAGTCTCAAGTACTGCGGGAAAGCGAAAACAAATGCATGTTTTGTTTTTCCAGGTCCTTCGTTTCTTAGACAAACTTCATTTTTCTTTTTTCTTCCTTTTCTTTACGATCAAAGCACCTGAGGACTTCTGGAGTGTTGGGGATGGTTTTCTACACAGTGACCATGAAAAACACGAAAAGTCGACCCAATGATCAGCTGCCGCCGACGTCATAGGTCACATGTATGAGTATCTGTGCTCTTCTTCTCCTAGTGTCTTCTTCTAAGTCTTCTTCTTGGTAATGAGAAGAAAAACAATTTTTTCTTCCTTTCATTTCAATATTTTTTAATTTTTTTTCTTCTCTTTTCTCGCATTCGTTTTATTTCACAGACGATCTTAATTCAACATAGCTTCCCTTAGCATCAGAATTTTAAATAATTTTACTGCAGTAAAAATTTTAGAAAAGTCATATCATAGTAACTAAATAATTTTAAGTATTATTTATGATTGTAAGAATATCATAAAATCAGTTATATTTGTGGTATTTCAATTTCGGTACTAAGGGTGACAGTATTTGCAAATTAAGGGTAACAATATTTGCAACAAAAAAAAACTCTCTCTCTCTCTCTCTCTCTCTCTCTCTCTCTCTCTCTCTCTATCTCTCTCTCTCTCTCTCTCTCTCTCTCTCTCTCTCTCTCTCTCTCTCTCTCTCTCTCTCTCTCTCTCTCTCTCTCTCTCTCTCTCTCTCTCTCTCTCTCTCTCTCTCTCTCTCTCTCTCTCTCTCTCTCTCTCTCTCTCNCTCTTTCCAAGGTCAAATGTGCTATTCTATACCTATCCACCAGCATGTAAGGTTGTCATTCTGGGGCTCTGGCCCTTACTTTAATAAAATTATATTATGATTCCTGTATTTTCCTGTATCTTTTTCAAGAAGCACCGGCCACACTACGAACTTACAATGTTTAGGCTTTCAAAGCATAACAGATATATATATATATATATATATATATATAAATAAATAAATAAACTAAGTGTCATGTTCGGTGATAATGCAAGTAAATAATTTTTGGAAACTGTAAATGCAAACATCTAATTCACTTAAAGCATTCTGTCCCTTTGTGGAAGATCTGATGCAATATCCATCGAAGAATGGGAGATTATATGTTTTTTTTAATGAAAATATAAGTGAATAATTAAAATAAATTTGGAAAAGCTCAATAAGAAAAAGTATTGCAAGTCACGTCATTCCCGAAATAATAATCGATCTATTGTTAAAAAAGAAATAGACGTACGAGAAGTTGTAGAAGAGGAAGAAGTTGCAGAAGAAGGAGAAGTTGTAGAAAAAGTATAATGGGGGGGGAGTAAAGATCATTAAAAGTTGAGTTAAAACTTCTAGCTTAGCTACTTTAAGCTAATAAATTACAAATACTTATTATAAAAGAGAAATATTTATTAAATTTTCAAGGAAAAACTCAACGCAAACTAACCTTAGGAAAGGTATAGAGCAAGCCAAGAATAAACTATTTTCAATTACAATTCTATTAAAAAATTAAAAGTGCTCAAACGATATGATAAACGATATAGAAAATGAAACATAATAATCATGAGTAAAAAATTTGCAAACGATAGTTTTCTGAGGTATTATTTTACAAAAAATAGAGGAAGAGAAGTTGTATAAGAAGAAGTAGAAAAAAAAAAGAAATCGAAGCAGTAATAGAAGAAGTGGAAGAAGCAGAAGAAGAAGGTAGTTACTTTATTTACATCGCACTGGAGCCACACAATGGGCTATTGGTGTCTGAGAAACATTCTTGAGGATGATCCGAAGACAAGCCATCACAATTTTGATCCTCTGCAGAGGAGATAGCTCCCCGACAGAAGCCCGACGACCTGCGCACGAAGTCGAGCACTTCACGGTAGAACAGTTTAACAAGGTCCGATACCAAGCACCCTCGGCCCCTACGAAGGTTGATTAAAGCTGTTACCCACTAGCTTACTAACCGCATCCAGTGATGTTTAGCTTCGGTTTCCTACTGGGAACCTTGTTTTTACGATTAGTTCACTGCAGGACAGAAAAGGAAAATGTAGAAAAAAGAATTCAAAGCAGTATTAAAAATAAAGGCAGTAGAAGAGGAAGAATTTTTTTTAAAGAAAGTAGTAGAAGTTAAAGAAGAGGAAAAACAGAAATAGAGGAAAAACATTAAATTACCATCATATGACCTATGATTGACCCTGTTTTAAGGCTCTAATAGAATTGTTTTAGGTGCTTGACCGATAGATATTCAATTGCCAGGAATAAGAAAAATGAATGAAAGACAGACCTAATTTTGCAGAATTATTTAATTCATTCAACCTATAACAACTCAAACTACAAAACTGACATTTTTAAACAGAAAAGGAATGTTTATTAAAAACTCACACGGAATTGTGTATCGAAGATCATCCCAATCAGATGTTATATCACCACTCCAATGGCTGGTATAAACACCTTGTCCTGCATGTGTGGCACGGGACAACAGAAAAGGACGTTTATTTCTTATATCCTTCATAGCACTGCATTATAGAAAAAAATCATGTTTTTTTTTAACACATTTGGACAAAAGCAGTAGAAATTTCAAAAAATGTAAATCCAATTACATTTGTAAATATTTTATTATTCTCTGAAAAAATTATAATTTTCAGAACACAATTTTTAAATAGAATTTTTTGAATATATTTTTATAAATTATTAATTAATTTCTTTTTAATTCATATATATATATATATATATATATATTCAATTTTGGCATCAGAGTTTACGCTCGTTAGTTTATGTAAACAAAAAAAGTGAAAGAAGAATGAATTTAAAATGCACAATACTTATTTTGCTTTTCAATATTTTGTATTTCCAAACAAAATAAATTCTCTACCAACTTTAAAATTTCGCGTTGGTTNAGCAATATATATATATACCATCGACCAATAAGTATTTGGACACGTGAGATTGAAAAGAAAAACAAACTTTATTCATAATCAATAGTTGGTCGAGCCTCCACGAGAGGCAATTACAGTGTGAACCCTCCGGGGCATACTACCCACAGGTCCGAACTATACACTAAAATTCAGGTTTATTCGAACAACAATTAAAGAAAAAATATTTTTTTAAACTGACATTTTAAGTTTTGAGAAAAAACAAAGCACTAAAACGAAGAGGTAAAAATAAAAAGAATGGGTCCAAAGAATTTCTGAAAAAAAACATAAAATTGCCCTTAATTTAGACTTCGTAAGATGTTAATGTTTGAAGATATCAGTTTTTGAAAAAATATGTGAAGTTTTATTTTATTTTATGTTTTATTTATTCCCGAATTTTGTTGCATAATTGTCAAAGAAATTAAAATTTTTGTAGCACTCTTTTCATAAGGAAGAAAGATCAATTCCATAATAACTTCACTTTTGTAAGATTTATATAGCTTAAAAAAGCTTTTGCATTAAAATACTGTCTTTAGACTAAATGATTAAAAATATCCATTCAAATTTAATTTTTGAAAAAAGAAATCGGAGTCTTTAATGAAGTATGTTTCTTTTTTTATTGTATTAGAAACCGCGTTTGTTTCTTTTCTCTAAATTCTGATATGATTAAAAATTTAAGGAACGTTTGAAAAAAATGTTTATTTGTAAAATATTTTTTTTATCAAAGGCGGTAAATTCTTCTAAATTAAAAACTAAATGTTTACGAAAAGAATTGTGGAAAAAAAACCTGCAATGAAAAGAGACCCGTAGTAATTATACGAACGACATATTTATATTAAGTAAAAGCTTTCATTTTGAAAAACGGTATAAAAAACCACCACCTATAAAAGAAAAAATAAGAGTTCATAGAAACTGTTTGATAAGATTGTATTAAATATTCAAAAAAAGGCCGTAGCTTTACTTTAACTATAATTTTTTTAAGCATTTTGCATGAATTAATTTTTATCATTTTGCCTGTTTGTGAACACATTGAAAAAACATTAGTGCAAAGCATTCATGCCTTAAAAATTTTAATTAAGAGAAAGGATGGTTGAAAGCGTCAAGAAAATGTTTCATTTATAAACTTAACTGGAGAACAAATGATTAGTTTGCAAATATTTAAAAATCCGAAAACAAGAAAATAACTTAAGCAATTAAAGTAAAATACAAGATAAAATATATAGTTACTAGAAACTGTTATTTTAAATCATATATTGGGTATACAAATTAGTTCGGTTCGCTTTTTTTGTGGTCAAAAACGCATTTATTTTCGAACAAAATGAATGAACAGATTAATCAAAGTATTGTCTATCCCTGGCTATTACTTTTTTCCACCTCTCAGGCAATTTTCAAATTAAATCTCGAAAAAATATCTCGTCTTTAGAGGCGATCCAAGTCAGGGGCCAACCTTCAATTTCTTCGAAAGAAGTGAACCGGTGACCTGCCAAATCGTGCCTCATCCGTCGAAACAAAGAATAATCAGAAGGAGCAATGTCTGGTGAGTACAGCGGATGCGGCAAAATATCCCACTTGAGCATTTCCAAATAAAATTTTACGACTTTTGTGACATGAGGCCGACAGTTATCATGCAGAAGAATAACTTCGTGATGTCTTTGCTCGTATTCCGGCCATTTTTCTCTTAATGCACGACTCAAACGAATCAATTGTGACCTATACCGATGGCACGTAATGGAATCGCCAGTTTGTAGCAGCTCATAGTATACAACACCATTCACCATTCTTCTTTCCCCATTCACCATTCACAAAACGTCGAAACCATTCTCAACATGATTTATCAATTGAAACATTGTCACCATTAACTTCTACAAGCATTCGACACGCTTCAGCAGCACTTTTCTTGCAATTAAAGCAGAAACATTTAAACCTCCAGCAAATGGTCCTTAGTTACCACAAAATTTGACATATTCAACAAAGTAAAAAATAAGACTTTTGCATGAAACTCAAAGCGATATAAACTAAATATTAATGACAGATGTCTAACCTCTCTTAAACCACCGAAACCAGCTGTCACTATGAACATTCATAACAGTCTGAGCTATCTTCTGAAAACGGAGGGAACTAATTTGTACTCCCAATAGATTTTTTAAAAATTCTATTGATTGCTCATACAATAATTAGTAAATATGAATTTGTAATTAGAGAAAACCTTCTTTACAATAATTTCTAGTTTTTATTTAAATCTCCAGATGACTAGACCTAAAATTATTCATACACGGTTCTAGATTTGAAACAAACTAAACGAAATTTCCTGTTGTATTACAGATAGAGTTTTGCTGGCTATTAAATTTTTTAAACTTTATTTTATTAAAGTAGAAGCAACATTATAAAATGATCAATGCAAAAATAACAGTTTTTAAGACGCTTTTGAACTTTATAAATTTGAAATATTCTGGTTGGGAAATTAAATTTCTCATTTTTATATTATCAGTGATAATATTAATTATTCCAGAGAATTTTAAGTAGGTAACACTTTTTTAATTAACATCGTCAAAGAATTCATACAAGTGATAGACTGCTACATGAGTAATGCTAATTTTTTAAAAAGCAAATATTATTTTGATATGTCAATTAAATATTGTTTTAACTCGCAATTTGTAAATTTTGCATTAAACATCGCTATTAGAAGTGTGTTTTTTTATCTGTCCTTACAAAGTAATTTCGAAATAAAAGAAGAAAAAAATATACTTTGGAAAAATAGATTTAAAATGTCCAGAACAAATTAGTTTACATACTAAAACGTAAAAATTACTATTTTTTTTCTTCATTTAAACAATTGTTAGCCCTTTGACGCAGAATTCTTATGAAGCATATTTTCCATACTCTTTTCATCATTTTGTATAAAATTTGGTCAAAATAAGTGAAAAATATTATACTTAGCATTTTAATAATTAATGGTAATGAACACCGGTGTTTTTTTTTTACTACGTTAAAGGTAAAATCTTCTTAACGCAGCTCAATTCTAGACAATAATTTTTCAAATGTCCTCTTATTTATAGTTATTTAGATCTAAAAGTAACAGTTATTCACCATTGGAATTTCTTTCACCAAAAAAGTTAATTAGTGATAAAGTTTTGAATATGAACTAAAAAAAAAAAAATTTAAACTACTTTTCCTGGATTTTATATTTTTGGACAAATGTAATTCCGATTATCTAAGAAATTTTAGTAACTATTACACTATCTTTTTATAATTAAAAATTATCAAAACATATTTTTACTTGCATTGAGAGCATCAGAAAAAAATAAAAAATAAAAGGGACACCGGTGTTCCATTAAGGTCAAAGGGTTAAAATCTTTCATTTAAAAATCTGAAACATTTCAATATCATTCAAAAAATGCTATAAATGGTTTTGAAGATCATGGTTAATAATATTGTGATATCTTTACTTTGCTTAAATTGTGATGTCTTTTCATTTCAATTTACGCGCACTTGCGACCATCGTACAAAAAAGGATTCAAATAGCATAATTTAATGACAAAATTAATTAACTTATTAAAACGATATGTAAGAAATTTTGCTTTTCAGCGTGTATTGTTAAAACATTTCATTTATACATCTGAATTGTTTCCATGTTATTCACAAACATTATTATACTGAAAACCACAGTTAATAACATGGTGTCATTTTTTAATAATTTGAGCGAGGAAATTAATCAGTTAAAGACTAAACGGTAGAAAGTAAATGAAAATAAAAGAGTAAATGATGAAGCTTTATAGTTATGTATTTCTTTTCTTGCTTTACTAATAAATTTTGATTCTTTAATGATTATCTTTACACTTCTAAAGCTCGTTACTTTTTTTCTATTTTTTGTTACATTAAAACTTGTAAAACTTTTGTTTTATAAAACTGTGAATATAAAGGATATTTCAGAATTTTAGTCACAAGTTATTTAAAATTAAGAGAAATTTCTAAATTTTTGAACAAAAAAGTTTTCTGCTCATAAAGAAGTTTTAGATTTAAACAAATTATAATCTATATCTAAAGCCATTGTATCCTAATGTTAAAGCATAGGGAAAACAATATATATTTTTTTTATGCCAGTGTTTTTTCTGATTTTTTTATTAATGTAAGAATAACGTCTTTTAATTTGGTTTTAATAAATGTGATTTTGATAGATTACGGAAATTTGGTGTATTATAGTCGAATCTGCATCCTGACAAATTTTATCTGAAACCTAAGTATAATATTTTCATTAGATGATATGTTAAAGTTCGCTTTCGAATTTTATTCAGATTACAAAGTATTACTGTATGACAGTTTGATTTTCGAAATTCAGTGTTTTATTCTAATTAAAAAAAGTTTAAAATTGCCTATAAGTAAACAATTCAGTTTTTTCACCGAATGTCTTCTAAAAATGTTACTTTTTTATACTTCTTAAATTATTTGAATTTGCTTTATATGGCATCTCGTTTAACTCATTTCTTAAAAAAAGATAAATACAGAGTTTTCCTGAGATGATGTCTAATTATTGTATTTGTCACTTTAAATTAAGCGAGCAAGTTTAAGACAATTGTCGGTTTTATTAAGTAGTGAGTAAAATATATTTACAGATATGTATCGCGGGATTCCCTGTAAGCAACCAAGTTGTGTTCATTGTAATGGTCAGTAGAATAATGCTTGGCTGTCATACAAATGGTCAAAGTTCGAAGAGGATACGGCCTTCCAGGAACGTACTGAGGATCTTCTAAAGGTGATTCTGGGCAACCATCATACGTTCCATTGTCGAAATTTAGTGGTTCATTCATATCCTGCAAGTCAAAACGTGTTTCATAAATAGAATAGTCATAGAATTTAGAATCTTATTTCCTTATTATTACACTGCATGTTCCTAATTTATAAAGGAAAGTCACAAGTTTTTGAAGCAGAAGTCTTCATACTATGGCTCTTGGGTAGAAATCGTCTCGAGATACCAGGATTGATGCTGGTTTCTGGCCCAGTTGTTGGCCAGAAACCTAGTTCTGGCTGGTTCTGGTTTGTTGTTTTCAATTTTAAAATTTATATCGTAAGCTAATCCTGCATAATAATATTCCGAAGAGACACAATATCTGATACACATAATGAAATTTAAGATTTCAAATGTGTACTGTAAAAAACAACTGTCAATTCTACAGAGAAGAAAAACACATTTCTCACTGAAAAAAAACTGTTCAATATAGTAAAGATTTATTTTTCTATTTTTATCAGTTTTCCGCGGACTGTAAAGCATTGCCCTTTTTTTTTCAATTTGTCTTTGTATATTTGACGACTTAAAGCTGTCTTGTTGAAAAAACATGTTTCTTCAGTTTTTCATTCAAATCATGAATGGATTTAAACGCCAGTTAAAATTTAATTTTTGTCATGCAGTTTTACTTACAGCAGGATAACTTTCACCTTTTCAAATCCTTTTACGATTATTTTCTGTACTTGCTCTTATTTTTCAGAAATTATTTTATGGTTTTGAACAACGTAGAAATAAACTATGATTCGATTTTTTTGTCAGCTTGATCTGATTGCTTTACCTGATTATTGCATTTCCTTAAACATAATTTTTTCGTAAGTTATGTTACCAGACATTTTTGGACAGATGGGCTGCTATAATTTTAAACATTTTTGCACTTTAATATTATTTAAATAAATTAGACCTTTACGATAAAAATACTTTAAAATTTTTCCCAATGGCTATGGTTGGTCAGAAAACAGAACGACTGATTCCCAATACAGTTCCCCTGGTTCGAATCCCAACGTCGGCTGATCACACGAATGCTGCTCTCGGCTCGCGCCTACCACAATGCTGACTTGACTAAGTAGTTTCATATAATTTTGGAATTTTATTGCCAAAATAACAATACTTATCTGCTTGAAGAAAAAAGAGTTTGTTTTGAAATAATAGTATTTTTGAGAAATGAATGGTTTTATATTGGTACACCAGCTTATGGGGGAAATACTATTTTGTTAACAAAGCTAAATGTATTCAGGAAATTTGTTTACTTACAAGCCATACGCCATCAAAATCCAAAATAGAATGAAACTCCACAAATCTATCTTTCCAGTATTTTTGAGTGTTTGGATTCGTAAAATCAGGATAAACTGTATAATTATCATTCCACACCTGCAATATAACAAATATAATTTTAAAAAATGTTTAAAATTAAACTTTCAACAATAACTGCACAAACTATTACAGAGGTTTATTCACAATAGTTTTCTTTTCATTTCTTTTTTGTACATGCAAATAAGAAAGGTATTTACTTTAGATTCGATATCATTGCCGTATACATCTTTTACAAAGAGATCTAGTTCTTTCCCTTTGTCATAAGCGGGATATGTTCCATTTTCTTCCGTGTTAGATACTCCTGGTGACTGGAAAAATAAGGTAAATATGAATGCAAGTATGAAGAATGTAAAAATTAATCAATAATAAGGCTTTACGTTAATGCGTATGGTGTGAAGAAGTAAGGAAAAGAAGGAAGATTGAAAATGGGAAGAAGTTTTAATCTCTTGTTGTCTATTCAATCAGTCGAAGGGTTCAAGTTTGGCAAGGTTTCTTTGGGTCTCAAGACTATCTTCTGAATGTATTATTATTACGATTACTTTAATATATTAAATGACACTTGACAGGTATATTAAATGACACTTTTTTATGAATTTCAGAAAATTAGCTTAAATTGTGTTGCATATCTGGAAATTGCCGACGCGTCATTTGCATAACGCGTCAAGTTCAATGATCTTGTTTAAAAATAATAATTTTTTTACGGCAATGAATGAAAAGTCAATATTGAAAGCAAACAAACTCAAAAAAAGATGAAAAAGCACTTGAATACGAGATAAATTTTGAACGAATCAGAATTAACAAAATTCACTTTGAGCTCACAAATAAAAATTACTCTTTCAGCACGTCGAATATTAACTCCGTAGTTGCGTTTCAGCGGGCTGCAGATTTACCATGCATGGTATTGTTTTCCTACAAATTGAACCATTATTCCTACAATTGTTCAAGAATTTTCGAACTAATTGTTGAATATCTAACTTTTTTATTCTATCTTACTCTTTGTACATTTTTCTACAGTCCATCGTAATTTCAATCTTTTAAATGTTGTTTCAATTCAAATAAATGTCGTATTATTTATGCTTAGTGGCGTAAAATGTAACGCAGTAAGAAAATAATCGAGAAAAAATGTGCAAAAAAAAAAGCGTTTAAGATTGCAATAACTTTCCATCATAAAGCTCATGTTATGTTCCTAGACAAAATTTGTCTTTTCAGTTCGCCAAATTTCAATTCTGCAGTTGCATTCCTGATGAAATCTTCAAAACAATCCATATTGTATTTTTTGTGTCAAGTTTAACAGTTAATAATGGTAATTACTGTAAGTAAAATTTAAATCCTAAGATTAATTACAAGGTTGGAACTACAAATAAAAGGAAAAATTTTGTCTTACAATCATAGCTATATATTTTATTCCTTGTCTGTGCAGGTCCTTAACCCAATCATCAAGTCCATTAAACCAATAATCATCGTAAGTGAAATCTAGATGTTTCCGCATGTAATCTATGTCATGCCATTGAACATCCTAATAAATGATAAATTTAATCGTTAAAAGTTACATAATTATTCAAAAAATATTAGAAAACAATTTGTGATTAGCATTATTTAAAAATTTAGAAAAAAAGTACTACTTTGAATGAACCTAAAGACGAAATTTACTCTTATATATATATATATATATATATATAGCCAAAGGGTTTAAAAATTTTAAAATAATGCATTACAAATATTTATGCTTAAAAAAGGTCAAAAAATTATTTTTATTGTATTTAAAGAATAAAAATAACTTACTACTGGTACACCAGCTTCCAAGTTACGTTGTAGAGTTTCATTAGTTTTATTTAGAGAAAAGTATCCATATCTGCAGAGTTGAAAACCGAGACTCCAATAGGGTATCATAAATGGGCGGCCAATGAGTCCTGTATATTGTGATATGACGTTATCTGGTTTGGGTCCAAGCATGACAAAGAAGTCCAGTATTCCACCAATAGTACGCAGGGTGACAGCAGGAGCTGGCTGGAGGATAGCATCTAATATATGTGAAAAGTTTGTTTATTACAAGTATCTAGTGGATTTTTTATGTCAGTAATTAAAATACTAAGCATGCTAAGGTCAATATACAGTGGACAAAATAAATTTAAACTTAAAAAAAATAACGATTAATTATCTCATAAAGGAAGCGTGAAATTCCATAAAACATGCAAAAAGATTTTTCTTTTTAAAATAACAGCTATTCTATATGTGACAGGCAAAGTTTAAAATCCGGCATTCTGTAGAATGTCTAGGCATTGTATATAATGCCTAAAATTAGCCGAAAATGTATGAAACGATTTATATTTTACACATTTCCTAGGCAAATAAGAAACAGGCAAAGTATAGAATCTTCTGTGGCCATGTTAGTTAAAGTGATGAAATGGATATTTTGTGCAATATTTCTTTCTAAACTTAAAATAATTGTGACATAAATGTCAATTTTTTATGTAAACATTTTGTTTCCCTTAATAAGAAAAACATAAATTATGTTTTGTACAACTTTCATTTTTCTTTACGCATTTTGAATAATTTTTTTTAATGGCACTCTCTTCTTTTTAGTGGCATTTTTCGGAATAACATTTTTATTTTTGAGAAATGAACATTATTTGCATAATAACCTCATCAGTATGTTTTTTTCATACTTTGCCTAAATAGCATTTGTAATTCTATAGAATGCCTAGGTATTTTATAGAATGCCTAAAAACATCCGGCATTATATACAATGCCTAGGCATTCTATAGAATGCTGACGTTTCATACTTTGACGGTTACATATATATGAGGAAAAACAAATGATATTAAATTCTTTCATTTTTATAGTTCAAATCAAAAATTGACATAAGATAAGGAACTCAACTCGTTTTATGCGTGCTCTCCACCGTATTACCATGATAAAAATATACAGATTTTAATTAAATTCTATATAAAAATATAAATTTCAACCCGAAAATCATTTAAAAAATTAATTCCTACTTTTTGACGGTTATTCTAGTTTCACTTAGGTTCAAAACGTTGGATATTTTAAGTTATCCTATGTTGAAAACGCTGAATATTCTAAAGTTTTTTAGGTTCAAAAATTTGTGAATCCCGAACCGTCGTAAGTAAACCGACGTTGATAAAAGGGTCCCGTGGGGAACTAAGTTCGAAAATAACTAGACTAACTTATATCAATGAGATAAGTCCAGCTACAAATTCTGGTTACTATGTCACACAACAAACTACTTTTTAGAGAATTAAAAGTGACAAAAAATAAATAAAGGATAAAAAAATGTAAAATGGTACAATTTTTCTTCTAAGTTAGGTATTACTTTTGGGTCCTTGCTCTAACACCAATTTTTATAAGTCATGTACCGAGGAATATCAAATTAGATTTATATACTATTTAAAATAAAAATTTGACATATTTACAAGTAAAAATGAAACATCTTAGCCTTCATATTTTTCATTTTTATATTAACATGTAATCGTCAAAATATTGTGATTACACTGCAAAAAATTCCGGATCGAATTGCGGTATAAAATACCAGTACTTTGGGTTCATCATCCATAAAATCCATTTTTACAGTTAAATATTATACCGTAATTTTTACAATAATATTTATTTATTAGAGTGATTAAATGATTTTACAGAAATATTTATTTAATTAGAGTTATTTAATTATTTTACGGTAATATTTATTTAATTAGAGTGGTTCAGTGATTTCCCGGTAATTATTACTGTAAAAATTACGGTATATCAGATTTTCGTTTCGTAACATAAAAATAAACAGTAAAAAGTACCGGTATCCTGAGTTCTGATACTTTTTACCGTAATTTGATATGAAAATTTTTACGGTGCATCTCATAATAAATTTATCAATAGAAAAGTATTCGATAAAAAAAATAAAAAGCATAAAAAATACAAAATGTAAATAAATGTTTCGATACCTCTTCTAAAAAGACTGCACACCAATGACTGAAATATATCTTTAAAATTGGAAAACAAACAAATCAATATATTTAAAATAAAAAATAACTCAAACTTTGATAGTTTCATTAGTGTAAAGTACCCTGATAGGAGAAAAGAACGTTTCGAATTGTATTGCTAGTCTTTAAATCTCTCAAACGTAAGGTCGCATTTAAAAGCTGTGGGACAGTAACGATTCTTTCTGGGATGCTCATTTAATACCGCTAACGGCAATTCTTTAGACTTCTCGAGTTTAGTTAGAGTTAATTAGTTTAGTTTGCCTGAAGTAATATGTTTCAACTAATCGAACATTTTCCCTAGACGGTTTTATTTAAAGTTATATGGATGATGTTTATTAAGTGCAGTTTTATGTTATCATTTCAAATGAAAGTGTCTTAACGAACTAATAACGAAAACAGCGAAACTTATGGAAACGTAAGTTTTTATTTCAATAAAAAGTAGAAAAGTTAATATAAAAAGGCGAATTTAAGTACTTTTTAAATTAATAAGTAAATCATATATTTTTCTCAATTGAATAAAAATCATAATAGGAAGATAAGGATCTAAATATTTACAAATATTATATTGTTTAAAGGACAATACATGTTTGAAGATACATTTGTGTTCTTATAAAAGAATTATATATTTGGTAATATTTAAATTTATTTATTAATTGAAATTATTTACTTACTAAGAATTATTTATTTATTTTTAATCTTCTCTATAATATTTTAAATGTTAGTCAATGAGTCGTAGCGTCTAAGGCGATGGAGAGTTCGTCGCTCAACGAGGTATCTGGGTTCGAATCCCAGCGGTCAACGTTTGATACGAATTCTGCTCCCGGCTCACATCGATCACAGTGCAGACTTAAAATATCACAGTGGTAAACGGATCATGGGTCAGAATCTTTTTGCCATCGGGCTAACCATGGGCTGTTTTCATAGTTTTCCTCCCTCATGGAAAGGCAATGCTGGTTAGTTCCATCAAAAAGTCCTTTACGAAGGCTAGTTTCTTCCATTATTTGATCCAGGAGCTTCCTTGCCTTTTGAGTTGGGTTCAAAATTACAAGGCTACGAAATTGAACATCAGCTGTTCAACGCCGGTTTTATGACCCATAGAGCAAGTAATGAAATGTTAGTCAATGGTGATATTTAGAATGAGTTTTGTTTTACTACAGGTGACAAAGACGTGTATTTGGTCATATTTCTATTCATATTATATAATATATATTTGGAAATGTTTCAATAGCACTTATTTTATTTTAATGTTGTATTTATTATTTTAAATGTTAATCAATACAGTTATGTAGAATGAATTTAGAATTTGTTACGTATCTGTATTCGGTAAACAATCAAAATTGTGCCCATCTATCTGCAATGAAATTGAAAAAATTAAAATAACTCAAAACTATAATTCAAAAAGGGTGTAAATGCCAATTTTTTAAATGTTTATTTTTTATGGTTAATAAGAATAAAAGTTTTATAATGATACATTATTTTGTTTTAACTTTTACAAAATACGTTTTCTATTATTGCTATTTTTAAATCAGATTCTCGTGAAATTTACTGTTTGGCATTCACACCCTTTTCACTTCCAGACGTCTAGTCAAGTAGAAGAAAATTACCCATAGCATTGGTATTTCGTAGAAACACTCCATTGGCATTTCCGTCAGGTTCCACAATCAAATAAAATGGATGAGTTCCGTAAAGATTCCTGTGAGGCTGTATTAAATTATATAACAATGAATATATTTGTTATAAACTTTTTCAAGATTTGTAAATAATAGCTATTAGGGGAATTCAATTAATTTCTAAGGAATCAAAGTACAATTGTCTAAATTTGCATTAGACCTATTAGTTATTCATCCTCTAAATTCCTTACTTAACCTAAGTTGCATTTATGAAAAATTTATGATAATTAAGGAAATCAATAAAGGGTTAATATAGAAATCAAAGAATAAAACTGTAACGTTAATCAAAACGCAATAATTATTATATACATCTGACATATAGATAAAGAATTTTTCCCGATGATACAATACTTATTTTATTATTTCCTCATTGGATTTTCAATCTTTTTTGGGATTTGGCTGTTCACTAAGCAAAATAGCTCACTATATGTTGCTACATTTTTAGATCCCCATGTATTTTTATTATTAAAGAAAACTTCAACACTCCTACATTAATCTATATTCACCCGATTTATCTACATATTTCAATTTAAATTTTTTACTATTGATTCTTAATTTAGCTGATCTAAGGAATAGTTATTGTAGAGCTAATTTTGTTAAAATAAGAGACATTTATAAGTACTGTCATTATATTTTATTTTGGTTTGAGACGGTGGCAAGATAGCTCCATAAAAGCAAGTTTGTTAAAACTAAATAAATCAGTAGATAGAGTGCCTTTTTAAAAAATTGAAAATTATTTGTTTTGCAATGTTGATTCATACTTTTAACCCATTGACTTTTTAGCAAATGAGCAAAATTGGGAGAATGTTTCACCACAATACACAATTTTCCTATCTAATAACATGAAAAAACTGTTTTTGCTATGCGGTGAAGACTGCAGGATAAAATACGATTTCTTACGTGTTAAACTGTCGGTGGGTTAAAATGCATATCGTTATTTCCACACGTTAATTATCTTTATCCGATAGCTCCATACTTTTACACGATGATACTACACTGCCTTTACACGATACTCACATTTTTGCACTGTAAATCAAGGATTTTACTTATTTCCTTCATATTTCTTCATTATTTCCTTCCCGCCTTAATTTTACATATTGAATTCATATTTTTCCTTATTGTTATATAAAAAAGCAAATCATACACTTTTGGAAATTTTGGAGTGTGTTTAACACTATTCAGATTTGCAGCATCCTTAACATGGTTTCAAGTTCAATCATATTATGGTACTTCTTAAAATTAATACTCAGTACTTGAACGGAAACATGGTTCAACTTACAGCCTAATCGAAGTTATAGCAGATTTGCACCGTATTATGGTTTCGTTCAACCAATTTGTCTGCAAGGGTAGCAGCATTGAAATGGTTTTTCTACCACCTTGAGAAGTTATTGAGCTCAAAAACAGTGGAGAGAATTTTCTTTAATTTAAAAAAACTTATATGCTCCAATTTTTGATTCAAGGCTTGTCAGTTTACACAAATTCATATTTAAATATTTAAAAAAATGGTGAAGTTTTCCTAGGTTTAGGATTTAGCATGTTGGTAGATTGAACTTCATTCTCGCAAGAATCAGAAATATTTATACGATGCCAATATTTAGGTTAGAGAGTTACACATTTTTTTTTTATTTAAATTACTAGAGATAGTCCTTTTTCATAAACTCTAAAAAGATTGTGATGCATAAAGTACTTAGTAAAATTCTTAAGGTCAGGATGTTTGTTCCTGAAATATCCTAAAATATTCCAAAAAGTTTGTTCCTGAAATATTTGAATCGTCTACAGTGAGTTAAAGTATGTTCAATAGTAATGCCAACTTGACATTGTGGATCTATATATGTAGGATCTGCTTTATATAAATGCATATCGGTATACGGGAAGTGACCGATGCGTAGCCTATCAATTACAACTCGGCGATCGGCGGATATACTTTTACAGTTATTGAGGATAGAATAAATGTCATATGATGTACTATTAATTTGCGTATTCCAATTATCTCTCCAAGTTGAAGATTTAAAAATTCGCTTAGTTCGAAAGGTATTAAGAAATTTCCGCTGACATATTGGGTCTTCTAGCTAAAATATCAGCACATTCACTCCCTATCCAGCAAAACTGATGTTGGGGAGCATTGTTAAAAAAATGTTATGAAAGTATTTATACATACAACTGGAAGATCTCCTTGATTAAACTGAGTAATTCTTGTCCAATCAAAAGACCTGCGTATTCTATCCTTGTGTTCTCCGAAACCATAAAAATTTTGCGAGGCTACAAAAGTGGACAATTGCAAAAATTGATCGCTGTAGATCAGTTGAGAAAGTTTTGTTTTAAACCTAAAACAAATGTAAGATATTAGATGGTCTAACTTATCTAATGAAATGAACTTTCAAAAGTTCACCAAATGCATTCAAAATATTTTTAAAAGTTTAATATAATGTCATTGTTAAGTACAAATTATAGACATTTAATTTGTTTAGTTGATGAAGTTTTCTTCTTCATACTTATAAGTTTGCAGTACCATCAACAATAGTTTGTCGATTTCTCTAATTTTAAATTTACAAGTTTACAGTTTAAAATACTTGTACGTTTCTCACAATAGGTGGAAGAGAAATAATTCCTAAGCTTAAGGATGGAGCTTAAGAGTTTTAATATTTAAAAATTTATTCCAATGCTGATTACCTAAACTCATAAAACTTTGCAAAAACTGAGAATACGTAATAATTTTGATAATTTTCATCTAAGTAAAAGAATGTCATCCATGTGGTGAATTTTTAAAAAAAAAGTTTAATAACTTTTGAAATATTTAAGTTATTTGTCTGTTCTATAGCCCACATAATTCTTCAAGTGCAAGATTATCGATATAATTTAAAATCAGCGCATTGCTTCAAGTGTAATGCCCATTTGTTAATGCTCTTTGATTCCTTTTGAAAAATCAAAAACTGTCAAAATGACGCTGGATAACAAAATAACCTCGGTCGATGGTATACGTTTTAATTTAATTTAATAAGCCACAAAAAATAAGGAACGTTACAATGCTACACGCTAAATTAAAGACGTCTCCAGAGCAACTAAATGACTGTTCATATAGAAATCGCAATTATTCGTCTTCATACAACAACGCCCCCTTTAGTTCGCTGCGATCGCGAATGACATTTGCTTGCTTCGATTTAAATATCTGCTCAATGATTAAAAAAAAAATTAACCACCCATTTGCTTTTTCAAATTGCAGAATTTAAGAGTGTAGTTTGCATGCCGCCAATATACATTTTAAATTCCCAAGATTGTTTTTTCCTTCTTTTAGTATGATTACTATTTGACCGCATTTAATTTCACTTCATCCCAAACTCAAATTGAAATAAAATTATCCCTTATTTATTAAATTTATAACTTAAATAAGTCAGAATTAAGCATCTATAATCCACACACAATCAACAGTATAATGTTTTTCCATTAAAAAGAGGAAAACTTTTTCAAAAGTTATGTTGAAATAACTATTATGTTCATTATGTGTTCTACTTACACAACAGCAGAACTTGATTTTCTTGTAATTGTTAACAATCCATCATTATCTAATTTCACATCATACAAGGGATTCTTTCGTGGAGATGGATTTACGTAGAGAGGAGTGTCTGGGACATATCGCTTAGACACGGCATCAGTTAGCTACAGAAAGTACACAAAATCAGAAAGGAAGATTACAAATTTTTAAGCAATTCAATTATCGTAATATTGTTATCTTTTTACGTTATTAGTTTTGCATTCATTCCGATATATTAACGCTGTCTTATAATTTTATAATTTCAAACTATTTTGTAAGACAATGGGTCTGTTCCGTATCACAGAGCTTTTAGAACTCGCTCACAATTCATCTAATTTTTAAAAATTAAACAATCGTTTGGCGAGCGACTTTTCAAATGATCCAGTTCATAGATTTTAAGTGACGTCATTATTCTTTATTTGATAATTCTTTTTAACCAATATTTAAATAATTATACAAAAAATATAATAAAAAAAGTTAAAACCTTAAAAAAAATCATGATTTTTAGAAGTCTACATTCTTACTGAAACTGTTTTGTTCGTTCTTTTTAAAATGCACTAATAAAATTATCAATTTCTATGTGTATATTTCATATGAATATATGTTAAAACATTTTGATATGAAAATTACAATTAGAAATACTGTCGGTGCGGTGTTAGAAAATATTTTTAGTGAAATGAAAGCTTAATTTAAAAATATTTCAATTTAACCAAAAACTCGTTCGTTTATTGCAAAAAGAGAAGGATGAAATATCTCCCCTTTTCTCTTAAGATTAAAACCGATTAAGCTTTTTTGTCTGTTTGTGAACGGTATTGTTAAAACATCTTGGAGCGATTTCCAAAAACTCCAAGTCAGAGAATTGGCCCATTCTTTTTCTTTTTTCATCAAACGACTTTTATTAAAAAACTTTTTTTCTTAATTTAATTTTACTGGGCAAACGTTTTCATTTCCTTCCGTAAACNTAAATGAATCACTGTTCATATGGAAATCGCAGGTATCCGTCTCATACAACAACGCCCCCTATAGTTCGTTGCGATCGCGAATAATTTTTTGAATCTCAATTTTAAAATTTCTATTTTTAAGTGAAATATGATATACAAGAAAAAAATTTTGTATCATAAATTTTTGAAAAGGTAAAATATCTCATGTTATGTAAAATTTGAAACTTTATTTTAAGTACTTTCGAAGGTCAGAGATTGTTTAAAATAAGATTAAAAATCATTAAATAAGATATTCGGTAGGTAATCACTGCATATTTTATTTGTTATAACGCAAATTTTAAAAGCAAAATATACGAACTCTTTCAAAATAACAAATTTTATGCATGTTTGTGTGAATAGTGTCAGAAAAAACCTCGAAAGCAATAAGAAGAAAAAATGAAGATATTTAAGAATACAAAACGACAAAACTATTGCAACTGCACTAAGCCCATACGAGATAGTTTTTTATTTTCTTTGTTATCTACAAAATATGCTATATTTCCAACAGAGCAAAAGTACTTTCTAGTAGGAAGGAATACACATTTTTTCTCTTATGTATATACATTTCTTTCTCTTACCATTTTATTTATTAATGCCACTGTATTATTTGATTCTAAAGCCGAAACGAAGTCTTTTTTTTCAAAGTGAAATATATATTTGAATGCATAAAACCATAACTTTTTTTGTTAAATTTTTGAGTAACCTTTATTGTTAAATCGACTATCGTAATCATTTTGAAAAGTGTATTTCGTATAAAATTTATGAAACCTAAACAAAAATATTCAAAAGATGGTTTTACCAGTTTTAGAATGTTTTTACATTTAAAACTTTCAACAGTAAACATTTTAAGCACATTTTTTATTGAATTCTTGCATTAAATTTATTTATAATTCTCCAAGTTGTTTTCCTTAGATGTTGCTGTGATTAAATAATTGGGAAAAAATATTTTTAGTTTTGATCTCTCTCTCTCTCCGTATGCCTGTGAAAACAGAGGGGTGCTATTGTTCTTGTTTTTCCAGTGGCGCCATTTATGCCCCAGAATTCGACTTCTGCCACACCCATACATCACACCCGTTTGTAGGGCGGACCCATTCATACATCTATTCATTCATCCATAGATCGTAATTTTGACCTGAATCAGAGAATGATCAATCTCCAATCCAGTACCCCCAGAGGTATTGATTTGTTAGGTATTGATTTGTTATGTTATCTATTTGTTTAGTTTTGATGACAAGACTTTATAATAAAATACTTGCAAAGCGATCGAAATCTCTCCCTGTAATAGTCCTGGAATTGTTACTTTAATATGTTCAACAAAGACGCTCTCGACTAATCATAAAGTAGAAAGCATTGAAATTGTTAATGTTGAGAAAAATCATTTATTGATAGTTTTCACTTAATACGGTTAAACAACCTAGATTTTTATCCACGCCAACTAGGCCAATAACCAATGAGAATCGATCACACGTTTTCCGAAAGTTTTAAACTGAGCTATGTGATAAAGGTTACAAATTCATATTTTTGTTTTCTATCATCAAATATCTAAAGTCATAAGCGTTTCATCACCGAAATGTCAAATAATCTTAAATTAATAAATGTGTGGTGAACATTTTATGAAGCAACTTTATTTGCAGCTGAATTCCTACATTAGTCGAGAGGACTAATCAGTCAATCGATGACACCATAATATTTTCTTCAACGTATGAAAAACTTTCAGTGTCCTGCACTCCTCAATTGGTGACACTGGGCAATTAGATTATAAAGCTGCCATATAGGCATCGATGGCAGCAGAGCAGAGCTTCTTTACACAAGAAAGTCTAGTACTTCCCATTTCTCACGATGGATGGCACCACTAGATAAACTGATTAAGCCTCATTTCACGGTTCATTTGAACACCTCCAATGTCCACTACCCAACGAAAAGTTTAATATAACCTAACTCCAATATCCAGTTAAATTTAATTTTTACGGTTTTTAACCGTGATATTTTTTAATATGAGTACAATGCACAAAAAATGGATGATTTTGATCCAGTGATCGGATCTTCTATAACTGCGATTCAGAGAAAGTTTAAAGGGAAAATTTCAAATATGCTAACTAATTAATGCAGATGATATTTTAAGTACCGAAATCAGAAACCAAAACATACTTCCTCTAAATAAACATATCTTCTCTTAGACGGATAAGGATTTCTAACCTTCAAAAAATGTGGAAAACCGCAATCGACAATTCGGAAAGGAAAGCGATCATAAGTTTATGTTAGTTACAATTTTTGCGTATTTTCATATACTTTGAGAATCTTTTAAGCGAAATGAAAGCTTTCTGCACAAAATTATAAAATTTATTTATCAAAAGATAGTTCCATGCAAAAACAATTTTTTTTTTATTATTTTTATTATTCATTACTATTTAATTTAATAATAGTCGAAAAATTTTGATTTGTATAAGGTATACGAATTTTTACATCATTTTAAAAAATATAATTTTATGAAGGCAAAATTCACAATTTGAAAAATTTGGGTTGATTAGTTTCTGGAAAATAAATTTTAAGTATTTAACTTCCTAAAATTTCAATCTTTCACGAATTTTTTTTAACGATTTTATTCGATTATTAAACTTGGCCATTTAAACTTAATTTTCTTAAATTTATGTACAATTTTGTAAAGCTTGCAAATCAAAAAATTTTCGACTCATATTAAATAAAATAGCAATAAATAATTATTGAAAATAATTTTTTGCATGGAATTATCTTTGTAAAGACAAATATTATAATTGTGCGCCATGAGCTTTCGTTCTCTAGATATGGCAAAATACGCAAAAAGTAAAATTAACATTAAGAGGTCATAATTTTGAATCTCTCTCCTGGCCAAACAAATTGGAACCATGTTTCCCAGATTGTGACTAATCCCCTTTCTGTTTTGAAGGCAAGAAATCCAAATTCGTCAAAAAAGGCAGATTTTTTCAGACAAAGTACGTTTTTGTGTCTGATTCCGTAACTTAAAATATCATATGCACTATTTAAATAATAAATTTGAGGTTTTTTCTCTAATCCATTAAAACTGGGTCCTATTACGTGAAGATCTGATCTCTAAGCCAAAACTTATCCACGGTATTCCGTTTTTTTTTTTACGCACTGTTTATAAAAAAATCTTCTAAATAACAAACTAAATTATTTAAGTCACAAAATGTATTAACATTAAATATGAAAAAATGAAAGGTATACAAGTAACACTAAGAATTTACCTTTATTCTTAAGCTATTATCATCAATATAGCTGATATCCAAAGATACTTTTTGTACAGTATCAGTAAAACCAGACGAAATATTTTTTCTAGTCAATAGCCCTTTAATGGAAGAATCGTCATTTTTTAAGAGTTTAAAGCTGTAACCCTTGTAGTCACTGGAAAAGTAGCAAGATGGAACACCTATATATGAAGATTGTTTGAGATCGAAATCTGTTACACCTAGATCAGAAGCTGCTTTGTAACAACAACCACGATTTAAACATTCTTTTTCCGATATAGGTCTATCTGGATGGCAATCGAACTTTTCTGCATCTGGAACAGCAGAGCAACTGTCCGGTGTTATTCCACCCTTCTTACCAGAAAAAGATCTTCCATTGATGAGCCAAAATAGAAAAGTTCCAACTAGAACACCGCAAACTATAACACCACAAACGTAAGCGATCCTGCGCTTGCGTGCTGCAGTAAGACGTTCACCGGAAGTGTAAGTAAAACTGTCCATATTTAAAAGAATATTTTGCTAATGATTTTCAGATTTTTCGTGCAACACGAAAAAAAGAAAACAAACTCCCCTTCAATACATGTACCTTGCAGCTGTTTCACGGAAAGTGTCAGTTACAATTCTGATCTTTATCGCGATAAATAAAACAGATATACCAAAATAAATATTGTTTCTCATTACGATTGAGAAAATTCTCGTTCGTAATGAATACAAAACGTGCAGTCCTGAAATGATAAATAAAATAATTATCATTCCGCCGTTATCAACCGTTCTTTTGTGCTTGGAATGATATCTATAAAATGGATTTGAGACGGTTTCAAGGTTGAAATAGTTATTTTTTACTTATTTGTGGTATAGCTTGGAACAAAAAATTTCACACAATTTTTTTTTACTATGTAGTATTAAAATATCACTTAATTTTATTAACCACTTATTTAACCACTTAATTGCAAAAATGCTTCTGGTATATAATCATTTTCATTTTATTTTCTTTGATATTTTTTAGTATTTTTAGTTTCTTTTTTTTAATATTTAATTAAAATAATTTCGAGTTTTCATAAAACAAATATTTATCAACGATATTGACGCAAGTTCACAAATTCTCTATATAAACTGTATTACAAAGTAAAATGGTGCTACAGTAGAAATTGGGCAAAAATGTAGTTGTTGATTAAAATAAAGGATTTACTTATTATCGCGATTAAGAAATCATCATGAAATTAATTGCTATTTTAGTCGTGATTTTAAGTAAACAACAATAAAAATAATAATCACAAAGCAGTTAATTATGTGATCTATAATTATGAATAAAATGTTTATTTTCATAAAAGTAATAGCTTGCAGAAGCATTAGAGTATGATCATAAATTCCCAATATTCCCAGTGTCGGAAAATTTTAAAAAAAAGATAAATAATGCTAGAAACCAAAATTGGGTAAAGATATAATTAATTACAAGCAATGAACTATATAAAAAGTCATTATAGATTTGATTGCAATTGCTGTCGTCATTACAACTAAACGGTAGCAAAAATAAAAAATGACCGTTAATTATTATGTGATCTATGATTATAAGGTAAATTTTTATTTTCATGAAACTTATAATTTACGGAAACATTAGAGTATTATCATAAATTCCTAATAAGCATAATTTTAAAAAAATTAATTATGCTAGGAACCAAAATTGGGTAAATAGATAATTAATTACAAACAATAGCCTGAAAACGTCATAAAAAGTCATTGTTGGTTGCAATCGTAGTCGTAATTAAAGTTGCAATCAGGAATAAAAAAAACGAATTATAATTGCTTTAAATCGTACGTAATTACAAGTAATGAAGGAATATTGCAATTTTTTAAAATTTTTATACGATGAAAGTAAGCACAACATGTAAACTATTTTCTGCATTCTAAATATTTTGAATTTTAATTAATTGTTTTTTATAATTTCTCTTGTTACTCCAATTTTAAGTCTAATACTGATACCTTACTTTAATCAATTATTTTTTAGAAATGGGAATGAAAATGTATCATATTAATTACAAGTACACTTGTTACTTGTCACTGCATTGTCAATTTAATACAACCTCATCTGTTTATGTATCAGTATTACATAAAACATAATTTCTTACCTAAAAGAAATTATGTTTATGTTAATACTCATATTTCTTACCTGTAAGAAATATGAGTATTTTAAATAGCACAAGCAATAAATATACTTGTAATCATTGACGTATTATATAATTATATGATTACTTGTAATAACGATCAAAATAGACCGACCAGGTGGCCGAGTGGTTAGCGTGCCTGACTGCGGAGCCGATGGTTGCGGGTTGGAATCCCGCTCAGGGCATGGATGTTTCTCTCTCTCTCTCTCTCTCTCTCTCTCTCTCTCTCTCTCTCTCTCTCTCTCTCTCTCTCTCTCTCTCTCTCTCTCTCTCTCTCTCTCTCTCTCTCTCTCTCTCTCTCTCTCTCTCTCTCTCTCTCTCTCTCTCTCTCTCTCTCTCTCTCTCTCTCTCTCTCTCTCTCTCTCTCTCTCTCTCTCTCTCTCTCTCTCTCTCTCTCTCTCTCTCTGTTCAATGTCCTTTCTTCTGTGTGATTGTGTGAATGTAACCCGTCCTTTAAACGAGTTTGTGGTTGTATGACGTGGGCGACGCTGCTCCACCGCCGTGGCTTAGTCATAGGTGCTCACTGGGTAACGAGAAGAGAGTAGCAGTTCTGGCATTTCTGAGGCCAATGGGAAATAGACCCAAGTGCCCGCCATTAACCAAAAAAAAAGAAGAAAAAATGATTAAAATAGCAATAGTAAAATATGATTACTTGTAATCTCTATTACAAGCAAATAATACACTACATATTATTATCTGTAGTGAATTACAGTTGATAACAATTTTTTACTTGATGCTCAACACTGCTAGAAACTATGTCTGTTACAAATGCAAAGCACAGAAAATAACTGGGGGGAAAATAAGGAATGCTCACAGAAATATCAGAAGATCGTGAAACCCATATTTTATCAGAAATGGATGAATTCTTAGTTTAAGAACTTCAGGCGTATACATTTCTGAAATATTTGTATTAAGATTCTTTAATCAAAAGAGGAATAACCATTTAAATTTTCTTGCCTTTAGTTTCTTACACTTTAATGATTCTTCTAATAATTTAAATATTATTTTCAGTAAAAGAGTTGAGTTTTGAAATGAATTTTTTTTTTGCTGCTTGTTATCATTATGAGAAAGTATATCTTCTTAGTGATGCGCAATCTATTATGAAAAACAAAGCTAGTTATCTAACTTTTTTGGTGTTTATTTAGAAAAACAACAAAAGAAGAATTACTGCTTCTTTGTTTTCGCGGAATTGCAATCGATCAGTGTTTTGTTTCTTTCATGACAAGAAATGATAAAAAAGAAAGGATAAAAATAAAAGTTATGATAAGGTCAAAAAAGACTCACATCGTTTAATGAACAACATCATTTCAGCTTTTGTTGCTTGTAAACAATGGCCTTTTTCCCCTGAGAAATTCTAGTGTATGACACAACTTTAATAAAAACAATGTTAGATTAGGATATAAATATTTTTTTTTCGATTTTGGTAAATGCTTTTTCTGACAATTTAATTACATTACGAAGATCTGCGGCATAAATAATGTGGAATTCAAAATGGAAAAGGTATTTTAAATTGATGACGAAAAATAAAACTTTCGCTCAATATAATAAATGAATGAAGTTTAGTTAAGAAGTCTTTCCGTGGGCGGTTTTTTAGAGAAAAGTTTGCTCGTAGGAAATTTTTAAATTGCTTGAAATAAATAACAAATCATTATAAATATAAACATCAAATTTGGTATCTATATTTTCTTATAGTTATTCCCTAAATAATATCTAGGATATAGATGAATTGTTCAATTTTATTAAAAACTATGGTTTGATATTTTTGGTTGCCATTTTCTTAGTAATCGTCACCCGTTTCCGACTAGCGATTGTTAATCTAAAACTTTATCGTTCAATCAAAATAAAAATTAACTATATTACGTATTGCTTGATAGCAGAGTTGGCCAAAAATGTAATCGATTAAAATTTTTGATTACAGTAATCAATTACTTGTAATCATGATTACAATTTTCAAAAATTTTGATTACAGCTGTAATCATGATTACAATATTGATTACAGTAATCAATTACTTGTAATCGTGATTACAAAGTTTGATTACAGCTGTAATCATGATTACATAGTCGATTACAGTAATCAATTACTTGTAATCATGATTACAAGTAATTGCGATTACAAGTAATCACAACAAAAACGATTACAAGTAATTATGATTACAAGTAATCAAAATATATGATTACATGTAATTTGATTACATGTAATTTGATTACATGTAATTATGATTACATGTAATCTAATTACACGATTACAAGACTATTGTATTCTTATAAATGATTATATTTTACAGTAGATAGTAGAATGTATTTTATAATGATACATTTTGCACGTATTAACATGTACTGCATTTTGTACGTATTTGTATACGTACAAATGAATGTAACTGAAATGTATGTACATATGATTTTATCTAGTGCATATGTTCAGACATTTTAGTATCACACACATGTACATACACTTATATTGTAGGTATAAAATATATGTACGTATGTATATAGATAATAATTACGTATGTATGTGCAAACAATGTAGACATGTACATTTATACACAATGAATATATGCATTTTATGCAAATATTTGTGTATGTAAAATGTATATCTATGTTCATGTACGCATGTATATACAAGTACTTGTGTTTGTACGAACATACATACATTGTCTGTACAATGTATGTCCCATGCATGTATGTGCAATTTATTTATGAACAGTACAATATATGTATGCATGTACAATATAGGTATATCTGTAGGATGTACAATATATGTATGTATACATGTACATGATATGCATGTCCAGTGTATTTATGTACATGTACATAATATGTTCATGCTCAATGTAAGTATCCAAATATGCATAATACATTTGTGAACTATTGTACGTACATTGGGCGTATTTATATTTCACATATATTCATACATGCATTCGACATGCATAACGTACGTACATACACACATTTGAGATGCATATATTGTACAGATGTATATACATATAGCGTACAGATGTATATACATATAGCGTACAGATGTATATTCATATAATGTACATATGATGAAATGAACATATAATGTTCATATAATGTACATATGTGTGTACATATACAGTACGTATGTGCATAAATATATTGGGCATAATTCTTTCGTACAAATTTTACATGTGTACATGCATGCTATCCCTATCTATGCATATGGTGCAATGTATATATGTACAATGAATGTATCCACACATGTACAATACACGTATGTTCCATGTATGCATATCCATATGTACTATATATGCACGTACAATACATGAATGTATGTACATACATTGTACATGCGTACATACATTACACGTATACATATGTACATTACATTTATGTCTAAATATGTGTACAATGCAATAAATAAAATGCATGTAAGTTAACTTTTAATGACTCAAGCAAGTTAAATGACAAAATCAAACGATATTTAAATTTAGTTTTCAGCTTTAATTGTTCTATATCATTTTGAAATTCTCTGAATAAAAAATTATTTTCAGGTATTTTCATGAAATGTTTGACAATACAGATTTATTTTTTTTATAACAT